CACTGCTGTTTAGATAGATATCCTTCCTATAGCACCACTCTATTTCTGCTGTATTAGATCATCTGTCTGTCTTCATACATTAGACAGGCTCAGTGGTACGGAGCATTTGTATTGATTTCCCCTGCGTTCTCTCCAGTATGTATGCCAGTGTGTAGCCTAAACTGATTACTGCCAGGGCTGATAAATGTATTTGCTGCCTGGCAGCATTAAAGGTAACTCCTTCGGAAAGATGGCTCCACTAATATAATGCACCAATGAGACAGACAGCCAGACAAGAGGCAAGTACAGACAGACGGGCTGGCAAGGGGCTGCCAGCCTGAGTATTCATACAAGTTTAATGAGCATCCAGACAGTAGGGAGTTTGTGGCTCCAGCACGGATCTCACTCTGCACACAGAAGCTAACTGGCTGACTAGGTTTCGACACACTAACGAAAAGGTGGGGGAGTAACGGTTTGACCCAGGTTACAAAAGCAGTCCACAATTTGTTAGTTAGTACGTTTTTGGGCTGGAAACAAAGCGAAAGTAATTATGTGAAAAGCTCAGATGGCTGACTAGCAGTCTGAAACAGGGATTTTTTTCACCTCCACAGCTGAGATGTTTGCAGCCAAACAAACAAACAAACAGCTCAGAGAGTAAAATCCTTCTTTCAAGGACACCAAATGAGTCTTTTCTACTTTTATTATATTCCATGAGACTGGAGCCCATTAGTTGTTAGTTGTTAGGTTGTTCTAAATGTATTATACAAGTTGGTTTCATAACTTGTTTCAGTGAACATTTAATTAGTTATAGATTGCAACGGTTTAAGGACCAGTGTGTAGAATATAGCGGCATCTTGTGGTGAAGTTGCAGATTGCAACTAACTGGCCACCTCTCGCATCTGTTTCTGACGACCTTGGAATGAGGACGGGCTATCAAGTGTGTAAAGAGAGAGCGTCTGTCTTTGTGTTTCTCTGCAGAGCATGTGCAATTGTCGCTAGACTTTACAGGAGGTGCTCTGTCAGGAATTTAAACCCCCTTATCTGCAGTACTGTAGAAAACCGTCACGTTTTCAGAACTTTAGCATCGACTTAGTACCGAAATATCGGTTCTTATGACATTCATAGTACAAATATTGCAGACTCCATGGACAGCAGAGAAAAGCCTCTCATTCTAAGGTAACAAAAACACAACACAACGATCCTCCTAAATCTTACACACTGGACCTTTAATAATTACACACTATACCAATTATCTATTCCAAGGTGGCATTCAGTGCTCCCTTGTAGCCAGTTAAACCAGTAAGAAAGCTGCTCTTCCCTCCTCCACTGTAAATGATGGAGTAGAGAGAGGAAGAGGGTTTTGGTGCCAGTGTATCCTCAGTGTTTAGCACTCTTTACACAGGCTGTTCTCTTTGTTTGAGACAGTCAGTGCACACAAGTTTAACTCGCCTGCAACATCTCAAACTGCGGAGCTGTTTGTGTTTATATTGTGTAAGATAATGTTCCTTTTTCTGAGTCAGCCTCTGCTCAAATCCTGTCATGTTGTGAACACTTAAATGACTCAATAGGCACTTATTTAACATGCAAACCAGCGTCTGATGTCATCCAGTGACTTGTAGCCAATGTGTGAGGAGCCACTGGCATTATTAAGCTTTATAGAAGTAATGTTTATAGATTACTAATATAGATGTTGCATAAATGGAACTGTTCATCCTCTCTCCCTCTGCCTGTGTGGGTTCAACACACCAGTGGGAGGTAACATGGTCCAGCTACAGCTTGGTGCTTTCTCTCTTCCGTTCCGTTAAAAGCCTGCTCCTCGTCCAGCCTGAACATCCAGTCATGTGTCAGCAGCAGCAAGGCAGCAGAAGTTCAGCAGGTCGCATGGAGTGGCACTTCACATGCAGCTGACAGATGCATCTCCAGCTTCTTATCACCAGATGTTGGCCACATTGCTGGATTTCGGGCAGACTTTGAGGGACAGAGTGATAGTGGGTGGAAGACTAAATATGGACACTGCAGTGTGTGCGCTCTTAGAGGGTCGTTCAGCTCCCAAATCAGGGTTAGTAGGAAAATCAGGAAGCTTCTAACCTTTATCTGCTGCCTGAGAAATATTCTCTATGAGCTGTTTATGACTAGCTCTGATAAGTCTGGGAAGTCTTTTCTTCCACTTGTGACTGTTCCTTGATCTTCCACATTGCCTTGCAGTGAGTGAAGCCGAAGAAACCTCACAAATGCACCACACCTCTCTGCGTCCTGCAGGAATGGGATTTTCCAATGCTTTCAAGACACATGGCCTTATCAGTTATTTCTGCAAGATTTGTGTTATTCCGAGGATCTCCGTGGGGTTGGTGATTCTGTCTCTTAAGATGCCAAACGCAGTCCCTCACGCAGCCCGGTCATCCCCGTATTCACAGTCTCTGTCAGTGACATGGATGCAGCAGCTACTTGACTACAGCTCTACGTCCATGGTTGCTATAGCGACACCATGGTAATGAGTCTGCATCCTAATGATGCCTCAGTGGGTTGTTTGAGGAGTTGAGATATCTCGGGACAATGAGTCGACTAGCGAATGACAGCCTTCAAGCCTTGAAGGGTGCAGTGCCATGTGATTCATGCGTAAAGGGCCCAAATTAAATATGTTACACTAAAGCGTGATTACAGAGTACAGGCCTAACCTGCTGAGCTGACTCTAAAGTCTTTCTTTTCACCTATTTTTTGCTGCCCTATCCTTTTGCAATGTAACTACACAGGCTTATATGTATACTTGTAAACAGGTGCTTTGTTTGGTGAGGTTAAACCCATTTCTTACGTCAACATTTACTCATATTCATCACATATTTGAGTAGCATTGTGTACAGGAGATTTTAATTTACACTTTCCCTTGTCCTCTGTGCTGACTTGGTTTTATGGAACCTCATTATGTCCTGATAGAAGAGCCCCGCTGCTGCATCGACTCATTTGATTTTTACTCATGTGAATATGAGTACGAAGCTTCTGCACGAGGCCTCCAGAATATCAATAGACTTTTTCACTCCGATAAGCTTCTCCCTCTCTACTCTCATTATAATATTACCCTAGGAAAGTTCCTCTGCTCACACTTCGGTAACTGCTTTTTCTTGATGGAGGTGTCATTTCACAGAACCCAAATAAAGCTGCTCTCGGCTTTTTAAGATACGTATCCGAAGCCGCTTTGTCTCCAGTTTCTCACTCTGTTCGCACTCCACAGCACGACGTGATTTATGATTAGTCAATATTTCTCAGGTCTTACTGACAGCCACAGACTTGTCAACTGCATATATTTGCATGTGATCGCTGTGTTATCAAACCACTGTTATCAAACTGATGATTAAAGTGTCTACATAAATAGACGCAAGGGGAGTCCTTTGTAAAACTTGTCTAGAAAAGCTGGTTGTGAGGTATGTTGTCATTTTCAGTCCAGGTGATGCTGCAAAATACAGCTGCCACCTCAACTCTTCTTGTCTCTGACAAACTTTAATTATACCGTGTGTGTTGGGAGTCGGCAGAGTTCGTGTGGTCATATTGTTGCTCTGATTGTGCAACCACTTGTTTTTAATGTATTAGAAAAGCTGAAATAACAACAACAATCACAACACAGGAAATTAAAGAGCCTGAACTAGCACTCCAACTAACAATTACTTTCACAATCAATTCATATAAAGATTATTTTTACCATTTAATTACTACACGTTGCCTTTTACTCCTTTTTCAGATTTGCCTTGTGGGGGTTTGATGAGGTCTTTTTCAGACCTCTAGTGTCCAGTGATTTAGCTCCTTAGCCTACTACAATTAGTTTCTAATTCTTCTTAAAGGTCCGGTGTGTAACATTTAGGAGCCTCTTTTGTTTGAATTAGAAATGGAATATAATATTTATAGGTATATTTTCATTCATGAAATCGTTATGCTTTTGTCACCATAGAAGGAGCCGTTTTTTATCTACAGATGCCACAGGTCGCCTTCCGTGGAGGCTGCCATGTTGAACCGTCAGGTTTCTACAGTAGCCCACAATGGACAAACCATACACTGGCCATTTACTTTTTTGCGCGTTTCGCAGCCACCTTAGTTTCTGCTTGTGGGGGTTGTATGAGGTACTTACCAATAGTCAGTGTATCACCCACAGTACAATGAAGTCCGAAGCAGCAGACGCTAGCACGGAAGCTAAGCAATGTACTGCTGTAGACAGGGGCAGCAACCAAATATGTTTTAGCCACCTAACAAATCAATATCAGTTTAAGTGTACGCTATATTTAGAATATTTTCACCACTTTACTTTGCCATCAGCCAGCCCATTCCGACTGGGAAGTGAAGCTGTAGTCGCTTCGTTTGTTATTGTGACTTTGGTGTTTTAAAGGGTCAGTTTGGATCTGAACTTAGCCTTTCAAGTTTTATTTTCTGTGTTGTACTCGTCTGGCAACCGACCACCTGTAGACCGTCTGCTCTGCTGCACTGTTTGTTTGTCAGCTTCCTTTGACCTTTTTCGTTTTGAGCCACTTTAGCCCTCTGGCTGACTGTTGACTCTACCTCTTTCAGGTGGCGGCTCGCTGCAGGTCCACAAGTGACACTGCTGAGCTTAAATAACTCAGCATGTTGCATATTTCTTGCCACGCTCAAACCAGCCAGTTTGGTGTCCTTGAAAAGGTTGTCTATAGTATTTTCTTACCCGCGTTTCATTTTTGTTTATTCTCCCTTTGCGTATAATCCAGTGTCTCAGTTGTTGTATTAACCAGTTTCTCCACATAAAGTTGATTTTATGTGGCGAATAAGAATAATAGCTATTATATTGATTATTGTACAGACACTGATTCAAACTAATTCCACTATCTTTTATTACTGTGACTTGTATTGAGTGACCATGTCTATCCAGATGGGCTCTGTGACTTAAATGCACTTGAGTCATAAATAGCAGGAATAGAGGAAATGAAGAACATGGGTTAAATGAAGTTGTCTAATGTTTATAATAATCAGTTTTCCTACTCTGGCTCTTTTCTTCTTTTTCCATCCAGGCAGCATCCTGTCATGCAGTTCCAGGAGGTCGGCCAGCACTGGAGCTGACACTGTCAGCGAGCCCAGCCTCCACTACACTACAACAGCCCATCTCTACCAGACCTTCACCTTCCACTGCCCTCCTCTCTCTCCAGCCACTAATCTCACCCCAGGGAAAGACTGTTCTCCAGACTCCTTGGCTGCTCGCTCCCATCCCAGAGACTGTCTTGCGCTCCGTGCCTTTCTTGATATAAGAGAGAACCCAGGCCTGCATCTGGGTCCTAGTACAAGCCAGTCCTCCTGGCTATTTAGACTGTCTATCCAGCCACCACTCTGTGACAGTAGTCCTGTATCCTGCATCCTGGGCACCTCAGCCTCCTTTTATATCACCACTGGCCAAGCACAGGCACAAAGTGAGGGCAGCGGTCCACCCAGACGAACCCAGGATCTACCATCATCATGTCCAGTCGACGGAAGGCCTCCACTCCCTGTATGATCCGAGCCGACCAGACCATGGTGGAGCTGGATGATGAGGCAGAGGAATCACACGACATGGAGGTACACTTTTAAAATGCCTGGCAAAAGCACACCGATAAAAGGTTTCATAGTTCCATTTGAGGGAAATTAACTATTTAATTTATTTCATAGCTTATTTTTAGAGTTGTTTTTATTATTTTTGGCCCCCATTGATATATGAAATCCTTTGGATCCAATTCATGAATTAATGTTTGAACATAAAAACGGGTTTTAACTTGTGATTTAAAATGGTCTTGTGTAATACACTGCACTTTATTTTGTCATTTTTATTCATCCGAATGCATTTTCTTGTTTTTCTGTTTTCTGTGTATTTCATTGCTTGTGTACGGATTCCAGAAAGATTAAATTCATAAATCTATGAGACGATGCAAACACAACTGCATTGTAAATGCCATTTCCCTTTTAATCTGAATACCGCCATCTTCCTCTATCAGACACCAGCGGAAAACCATACTGAGGAGGCACCTATGGAAACAGATCCCTCAACAGAGGCAGAGCCTTCCGTGGAGTTAAACCCTCCCACAGCTCCAGACAAACCAGCAACCGAGCCACCAGACCTTTCCAAGCCTCAGCGTAGGCAGCAGGGGGGCTACGAGTGTAAATACTGCCCCTTCTCCACACAGAACCTCAACACTTTCAAAGAACACGTTGACGCCAACCACCCTAACGTCATCCTCAACCCCCTGTACCTGTGTGCCGTCTGTAACTTCAACACAAAGAAGTTTGACACCCTGACAGAACATAATGAGAGGTGTCACCCAGGGGAGAGCAACTTCAAATTCAAACGCATCAAAATGAACAATCAGACAATCTTAGAACAGACAATAGAGGGGTTCAGTAACAGTGCGGTCATTTACAACACTTCCAGTGCCATTTCTGGCAAAGGACACGAACTAGGCACTGTTCCCCTCAGCAAACCCACCACAGTCAAGATCGGTAAACCAAAAATAATGTCGTCGGATAATAAACGGACAGAGTCTCAGTTGGGCAAACTGACCCCAGATCTGGGCAAGAAACCAATCACAGCCCTCAACGTGAACGGAACAGTCATCATCCCTGAGTCGACTCTACTCAAAGCAGACGGCCTTTCTCACATCATGCCTTCCCTACAGCGGCCTCTAAACTACACCCAGGTAGGACTCAGTGGAGGGAGGATTCTCCTTTTCTTTTATGTACTATTCCTGTACACTTAAAGCAAGTTTGGACAGTTTGGAAAATACACTTTTCTTGGTTTCTTGTTTTTTTGCAAAGAGTTAGATGTGAAAATTGAGACCACTCTCATGTCTGTGCATTAAATATAAAGCTACAGCCAGTGGGCAGTCAGCTTACCTTTGCATAAAGGATGCAGGCAAACAGTTAGCCTGGATCTCTTCAAAGGTCACAAAATCACACTTCAATAACACATTAAATCATGTTTTTTTTAATTAGTACACGTATTTCACAAAATGTTAAACTATTTAAGCTAAAATAGCTTAGCTTCAAGGTCTGAAAAAAAACAAGAACCCTACCAGGACCTGCAAAGCTCACAAACAGACATGTTTCTGCAATTTCCCAGCTTGGGATCAATAAAATATATCTATCTATCTATATTCATGTTTTTAAACAAGATATATCATGTTCATTAATGAGCTTCAGATGAGGGTAGTAGGCAGGGTTTTTTAATCTTTGGACAGAGAAAAGCTAGGTGTTTCCACCTGCTTCCAGTCTTTATGATAAGCTGTCTCTTGGCGTAGCTCCATATTTAGCCTGCAAACATGAGACTGGATCTTTTTCTCTTACAACAACAAAAGCAAATACCCTAAATGTCAGCATTCCTTTTAAATTTTGGCAATGCTTTGAAAGTTGGCTTATAAAAGGGAAAAGTTTGAGAGAGTCAAATTAACATTTTAATGTTTTGCTGGTAGTGCTTTATTTTATCTGTCTTTCATAATAATTTCCATGAACGTTTACTGGAAAGGCTATGTGATCTAGTGATAGCTATAAGGAAAAAGGAGATAAGGCTCACTTGGTGCACTTCAATCAATTAATTCCAATTAATTGCTAGTGTAACCTAGAGAGTCTATTAGTCCTTGCACAGCAGAACGGCTAAACATGCAAAAATGTCAAATTTTCCTACAAGGCAAGCATTCAGTTGAATATATGTGGAGAATAAAGTTGCTAATAATAAACCTAATTACATTCTTTTCCATAATTGGTACCAAATTACATAGTTTCAGGATTTTCCAGTGTCGTTATTAGGAAATTATAGGAAAATCAAGTGTTCCTTTTTGGTTTCTTCTGTTTTTAATATCCACCATGCTAAATATCATGTGAAAGTCATTCAGTCGCCATTGCCTACCATATTATTTCAGGTGCCGAAGATCGCAGTGCCCCTCAACACAACCAAATACAACCCTTCGCTGGACGACAACCTGACACTCATCTCATCCTTCAACAAGTTCCCCTACCCGACACAGGCTGAGCTCTCCTGGCTCACCGCAGCCTCAAAACATCCAGAGGAGCAAATCAAAGTCTGGTTCACCACACAGAGGCTCAAACAAGGCATTAGCTGGTCTCCTGAGGAGGTAGGAATTACGACAATAAAAACATTTTTATTGCACCAAAATCCCTCAAGTGTGGTTTAGTGTATTTTGCCAGGTCTTTTTCAAAATTCAGAAGCTGAGATAGAGTAAAATTAATAATGGTGATAGAAACTGTATAAGTACCTCATGTTTGAAATTGTCTTAATTATTATCAGATTCCAAATAATGAGAATAATTAGCCTTGGCCCATGTTATATCACTCTAAAGCAAATTATAGTTCAAAGCAAAGCTGCACTAACTGTCTGTATTAACCACTGATCAGGTTGGTGGCTTTTGTTTTGTTACTAATCCACGTTGTTAACTTATACATAATTTTCACTTTTTACATTAACAAACAGCTAACTAACAATCTTACAGACCTGCCAGATTACAGTGTACATTTCTATTTTGGGTAATAAATTAATTAAACAAATTATACCACATTCTCCATTTTGAAACATGCCATTTCACCAGGCTTTTATTTTCTAGTATAATTGAAAATAGTTAAGTTGTTAAAACGAGGCGGGAGTAAAATAATTCTGCCACACTAATGGCTGCAGATAATAACTAGAATAATGGTATAATTTAATCCAAAACTTTTCAGCTTGGCAGTCATACATACAGATAAGAGATATGAGTTTAAAGTTTTTTTTTAACAAGTACTTTCCTTTCATGACAGGTGGAAGAAGCCAGGAAGAAAATGTTCAATGGTACAATCTCCTCCGTGCCTCAGACCTTCACCGTCGTAACTCCTCACCTCAACTCCCAATCATTCACCAACCCGTCAAACCAAGCCTCCAAATCCATGCAGCCGGGAGCCTCTGTCCTGCAGTCCCTCCCCTGTCAGCTCCTGGGACAGACCAGCCTGGTGCTGACGCCTGTAGCCAACGGCTCCACTGTCACTTGTGCACCACTGGCACTCACCGTGGCTAACCAGGTACAAAACATCATTTTCAAACATATTTATGTAATCATGGGCCACTGCATTAAAAATCTCCTCCCATCTAGTATAAACTAAACTGAACACATTTCACATCTCCTCAAGTGAAAACTGATGTAAAACTGTGAATTTAACACAAAAGAAAAGGATTGTATGAATGTATTGAATTAAAAAATCTATAAATTATTAAAGAAACATAGAAAAATATATACATGTACCATGCTTGATTTAACTTGACAGACATATGATTTGAGGTAGTCAAACCTTCCACCATGTTCACCACAGGTGGCACAGTCGCTCAAACGACCCCTGGCCTCCCCTGTGATCGCCACAGAGAGTAAACGACCCTCCATCATTCAAACCATCTCGGCGCCCATGGTCACATCCAAACTGGTATCGCCCAAAGTGCTGAGTTTCACTGTTGACCCCAATAAAACAGCGGAGCAGCTATCAGTACTGAGGTCCAGCTACACACAGTGTCCTTTCCCTGAGGAAGATGAGGTAAGAATAAGTGAGTGAAATGACATTTTTTGTGCCATAAGGATTTTTGGCTTTGAGATTTTTGTAGCTGCTTTTAGCTTTGGCTAATTTAGTGCTACTGGCTTTTAAAAAAAAAAAAAAAAAAAGTACTGTCACTGATAAACACCCACACTTATTGTTTGATTTTATGTTTTTATCTTGTCATGTGATAGATCTACAGGCTGATAGAGACCACAGGGCTGTCCAGAGGAGAGATAAAGAAGTGGTTCAGTGAACAGAGGCTTCTTAATCTCAAAGGTATGTGGTATGATCAGTGCCGCACAGATAAAACGATGAACCAACCTGACTGTGATTAATCATACATCTTTCTGTAGAGTTTAAACAAGTTAGTTTTGACTCTCAGAGGTTTAATTCCTAAACAATTAAAAACGTACTGTTTGTGTTCTCTCATTTAATATGTAATAATATGTTCCCTGTGTTATCTTGGAAAATTCGCTCGCATATTTTGCTCCTTAACATCTCGCTCTGTGTGTCTTTATTGAAGGTGTTCCACCACCTCCAGTGTTGGTGAAAGCAGAAGTGACGCCAACACCCAAAGATGGCCCTGTAAAGAAAGCGGTCCCCAGTCAGTTTCCCCTGCTGGAGAGGGTGAAGGGGAAATCATCAGAGCAGCTGAAGGCACTGGAGGAGAGTTTTCAGAGAAGCAGCTCTCCAACAGAGGCAGATCTCGGTAAAATCTTCCACCAGCCGATTGGGTGTTAACTCATTCCTTCTTTGGTTCATAGTGTATAACGTACAACAGGCAAGAAAGGTGGAAAAGAAGGGGAAATGCATCAATCCCCCTCCGCTCAAACGTGTTTAGCTTATTGTTACACTGAGAGTGGACTGTGAACAGTGAAGAGGAAGAAGTGCAGTTAAACTTTTGTTATTTTACTTACTTATTTCCCGGTGGTCGCAGCCCGAGTCATAAATTCCGATGCTTGATGTGAGCATGTTACATTTGTCTACAGAAACACAAAACAGCCCTCCTGCAGGTAGGTAGCTAGGTTGGAAGCACAAAATCGGCATCCAGCTCTGTTTATTTTTAGGATCCATTTACGTAGCATAGTTCCTAACAAAATTTATGGCAGAACTTTTCAACTACTTATTAAAACTTTGAGACTGATGTAGGGTACATTGGGTGAGAATCAGTTGGTCAAATTAGCAGTGGGGTAGTGTTCTTGTCAAGTTTAATATACCCACTCTCTAACTTGGATGTTAGAATTACTTAAAGAAGTCCAGTAGTGTTTTGGTCTATTTATACTGGTTCACAGCATGTGACTTCATTTTCTTTCACCCCAAAGGAGCTGCAGACCCATCTCTGGTGGGTGCCTGCATGACAGGAATAGCAGAAATGTTTTTAATGAGCCCATTTTAAGTCCCCTGGAGAGAGACTTAATTCCCAGGTTCCCAAAAAAACCCTTCCACTTCAAGGTAAAACGGCTCATCTGATCCACTGAACTCTGTTCTGCTGCAGACCAGCTGGCCCAGGAGACCAGACTATCCAAGACGGAGGTGGACTGCTGGTTTTCAGAGCGCAGGGGTCTGAGGGACAACATGGAGAAGGCTTTACTCACCATGGCTTCAAAGAACACAGAGGACAGAGTAGACCGGCCGGGAGCGCTGCTGAACGGGGCATCTCATCATCGGGAGCAGGACGGAAAATCTCTTCGCTCCTCTCCTCACCCCCCTGTCCTCTCCTCTTCCTCCTCCTCATCCTCCCCTCCTGTCCTCGCAGCCTCCTCCCCTCATCCACCAACCCTCTCCTCCTCTGCATCACCTCCCATCCTCACTTCATCATCCTCCTCTTCTCCCCATCCTCCCATCCTGTCAGCCTCCACGAGCCCGGCTCCCATCTCCAGCCGCTCCCTCGCCCTGCTCAGAGAGGTACGAAAATCAGATGAAAACATGTCAACACCAACACTGATTAGATGACAACGTATTGAAAAATGACACAAGTTAGAACTTAAATGCAAGCTATACTGATATAAATTGCTGCTGGGCTGCTAAAGGTATCAAGACATTAATGAGTTGTGACTTTAAAGAGCTTAGTTAATGAGATCACACCTTTTTTAATACAATCTGAAGTGAGATGTGTGAAATTGATTCATCTTGAGAAGGTATTGTTCCGGTACTTGAGGAAAAGCTGTGATTGAGACTACATGATGAGATTTGCTGATACTTTGATATTAGAAGTGAGATATGACAGCAGGAGACTTCAAGGTCAGATCTGACAAACTAAAGAGAAGCTGCTGGAGAAGTGTTGTGTCTAAAAACACAGCAGTATCCTCATGGGATTACAAAGCCTGTAAATGGAACATATATCCATGAGATATTCCCAGTAACAGGACGCACGGGCCACAGGCTGTCAGTTAATGATGACCCATATATGTTGGCTAACTAATGTTTGCAGAGTTTTAAATCCATCAGCCAAATATTAAGCTTATCTACAATAGCTAATGTATTTATGGTATTACCCAAACCCATGTAGTGCATAGAGGATTTTAAACAATTCTAAACTTGCTTTAAAAATGAAAACAATGTCAACTACTCTCCTGTGAGCTGGTTCTGTGTTTCACTGCTAGAGACAGTTTGCCAAGAATTGACCCAATGCAGCAAAGCAAATGAAAGAAAAAGAGGCCCTGCTTATAACTGTTGTAGTTACGTTGTGTTTCCATCAATTAATAAATGTCATAAAGCACTTTTTTAAAACAACACTAAGAGTCTACAGCAATGCTAACATGCATTTAGGCATAGTGGTGCTAAATGCTAACAGCAACGTGCTCACAGTGACAATGCTTACATGCTAATGTTTCGCAAGTGCAATGTTTACTGTATTAATTTAGTTGTTCAGTGGTGGAGGAAGTATTTAGATCCTTCACTTAAAGCAGCAACAAGGAACTTTCACTCTTTGTTGATTCTGGCAGCCCCTGTGGACAAAGGTGGTAGAGTTTCAACTGCCTCGTTTCATTGATTTCAAGGGGAATAAAAAGAATAGCCATCTTCTCAGTGATAGTCTTGTTTATTTCTGTAGGTCGTATAGAGGCATCAGTGTTAAATTGTTTCATAGCCAGTTAAAACCCCTTTATAGTAGGTTTAAGTAAATGTACTGAAATATATAAAAATACTACATAACAAGTAAAAGTCTTCATTAAAAGTATGTAAGTATTATCAAAATGCACTTTAAGTATCAAACGTAAAGGTACTCTTAATTCAGAAAAAAAACCCAGTGAGTGTAAATTTGGGTGTTGTACTTAGTATTTAATAATAAATTATACACACAAACTATCTTTCTTTCCTCAATAGCTAAGCTAGCGTTGTTTATCACACAGGCCCAGGAAAGCGTTTAGTTTCTGCTATGTAACAGTGACAAATATATTTTGTATGGTGTAACGTTTTCTGTTGGTCACATGATTTGTCTTGACAGATGTTCTGTCGGACTCAGTGGCCATCTCCTGAGGAGTATAGCCAGCTGGAGGTCCAAACAAGCCTTGGACGTACAGACATTGTCCGCTGGTTCAAGGACCACCGCTCGGCACTGAAGAACGGTGAAACTCTGGACTGGATGGAAAGTTTCCAAAACCCAAACCCTGTAGAGCAGCAGAAAGCAGGCCAGGAACAAAACGGCCAGAGTTCTGACAAAAACCAGAGTGTTTCCTTGGAAGTCAACACTATGAAAGGTGAATTTCATTTTTTTTCTCCTCTCAATATCATTTTGCAAAGTGTTCTACACTCTTGTTTGACTTTGTGTTTTCTCTGTTGTTTAAATCTGCAGTGGAGGAGGCTGGTGAGAACACAGCAGCTGCAGAGCACTCTAAGCTGTCCGACCAAGACAAAGTCCAGTGGTTGACTGACAGATTAGCCCACAGTGTGTCGGACCTGAGCCGGACCAGACCGGACCAGACCAGCTCTAGCGCTGCCGACAAAGGAAGGTGGGTGGAGAGATGGAAACAGATCTTTTATCCTATATTTATTTCCTGTGAAATCCATGTTATAAAAACAAAGAAAGATCAGCTCGCTGCCAATATTAGATTTTTTAAAAGTACTATCTGAGGAGTTATTTTAAGATTTTTTGTGAAAACGGTCTAAAAATACAGCACCGTATGGGCATCGCAAGTTGTGGGTGCTTCATTATGTTCCGTTCTTTGCACTTATTTGTTGCATCAACTAGGTTTTCATGCAGGGTTCATGGTATTTCTCACGGAACCATGAAGTGTGCAAAAAGTGTTTCTAGTTCCTAGAAGGAGTCTATTTGTGTTTTAAACTTTGTCTGTTTCCTTGCCAGGTGGGTAAAGGTGACTGTGGCAGTGGGGGAGGAGAGTGAAGGAGGAGAGGAAAGACAGAGGTTGGCAACAGACACCGACGTTCTGACCTTGGAGCAACCTGGGAGGGTCACTGGTTGATGGTAGGTTGGACTGGTAGAATATCCTTCAGAAGGAAACTACTGTGAGATTATTACAGGAAGTGTTGAGAAACTAAGAAAAGTGTCAGACCGAGAGCACTGATAAGATGAATCATCAACATAGTATGGCCTTTTTAAACCTTATAAACCTCGGTTGGGCTAACACATTAGCAATCTATTGCCTGTTTATTCATATAGCATTCATTCAAAGTTGTGTCTCTGGCCACCTGATGAATGTCCAGAGAAAAATATCTGGCTCTTTAGCTTGCTTGTCACTTCACTCTGGTCCCTAGCTTTATCTGTCTGCAGTTTGGTGCTGGGCAGGAAGCATACAGTGGGTTTATCAAAGCTTTTTGGCTGAACAAAGTTGCCTGCTGTGGCTGAAACTAATAACTGCACTTATAAAATATTTATTAGCGCAGCTTTAAAGTCTGTAATGAAGAATTTACTACATCTATACCAATCAATAAAGGGTTAATTATAGGTGAAAACAAGTAGGACATGGCTGCTGCTGTGTAGGCTGCAGCGTTTCCCTGACTTTCACTCAATGCATGCTGGGATGTGCTCCAGCCCTCTTTGACCCTGAAAGGGAATAATTGGCGGTAGAGAATGGATGGATGGAGATGGATTTTGTGACTTGACTAAATAGATAAATAGGTGGTGAACTGTTCCTTTTAAGAAGCCACAGCTGCAGCCTCCAGTTACCCAGGAAGTTATTAGGGTGCAATTACCTCTGATTGGTCCTTCAAAAAGATGGCATAGTGGGGTGGCAGGATGATATTTGGACCACACCATCATTAGCATTGAAGATATTGTCACAGGAAGGCAGAACGAAGGGTGCAAGTGGGGCTAGATTTCCAGTTCTTTTATAAAAATATTCCTTTTGTAGCCCGAGTTTTGTTTACACTTGAAGTGCATAATAACATATTTTTGTCAGTTGACGATTTCTAAATGTCTCCATAGTGACCATAGCAGTCAAACCAGTATTTTAAATTATAATCTGGAAACAATGAAATGCACTTCTTTTGAAGGCAGAGCGGTGTTTTTTGTGTAAAGAGGAATCGGTGTTAATTCCAGTCCCTGTTTCTGTCTGATTGTGTTCCAGGTCGAGTAAATCATTGACTGCTGAGTCACCGACCACCATGCAACGACTCAAGATGACCAAACGTGGAACCAGTGATGTAACTGTCTGCCTGTGATGTCATCACAAAGCGCCAGAGACTTTGGAGTTCCACAGTTGAAGCACTGATGTGTGATGCAGATGCTGACATTAAGAGGAGTGCCAAAGCTGGACTTGATGCATTGTTCTTACTACTACACTTTCTTTCTTTTTTTTTTTTTTTTTTTTAAAAAGAAGAAGCACCCTTGTAAATATTTTTCTGTATTACAAAAAAAAAAGGTTTGTACAGTTTTACTGGGAGGGCAGGTTTTGTTACATTTTAAAAAAAAAGTGATTGGTGCCCCAAAACCTGGAATGTTTTTCTGTTGTTGTTGTTTTAAGATCAAAGTGTATAATAGTTATTTGCTGAAAATCAGTCCTATTTCTTTTTCATAAATCATACCTGCGAACCACTCATTATGAGTAGTCTTTGATGGCACTTGCATATATCCCCGTGGTAGTGATAGATATCTTCATGCTAGGCCACTTCATCTCAAACTGTTAGGGAACGGCACCTTCCTTTTTTTCTCCTGCAGCGTCACCTTGACTCAAAAGTGCTAGAGGGGGGGGCATTTAGAAGGCGTGACAGTGTTCTGGGCAATATGAACACAGCTACAACCTCACCGCCGAGAGGCCAGAGAATGAACAGCCACATGGGCAGACCAAGAAAAAGACGCATTAGGGCAAATGAATGAATGGATGGATGGATGGATGGATGAATGAATGCACTGTACGTCCCAACATCCAGTATTTTTTCTAATCAGCTGGCTCTTGCATCAGTACCCGAGGCATGTTTAAGAGGCTTTAACAGCACAGAATGTTCCTTTTCCTGATATAGAAACGATTAATTTCACAGAGAAGAGAGTGGAATGTCTGTGTGATCGCACCATGCTGCCTTCTCAGCGCTCTTATCTGACATTAGCTGTCTGCTGCAGAACCCGGGTACAGTACAGACTGATGATGACTTCAGCATTTTCACTTCTTTGTTTTGAAAAACTTGAAATATTCTTAGCTGAACTTTCCAAGAACATTTTGGTGAAAGTGTTTCACGCATGATAAAATATCTGAAGCTCCTTTCATTTGAGCCATGTCAGATATCCACTTTGCTCAGCTGTGATCTGTGAACGCATTTATTTGTCGTCGCTCTGCGCTCTCTGGCTTTAGGAAGGTCCTTCTATATCAGAGCTGGATTGGGTTTAGTTGATTTATGTACAGTCAGTTCAGAACACCTGAAACAGTGGTTCACAAGAGATGAATGATAAAACCTGTGCCGAGTTTCTGAAAAACAGCAAAAAGCATTTGGATCATCACAACAGCCGAAATTGTCATGAACCGCTTGCATGTGCTTCAACAATTTTCATTTTAAACGACTCATTTTCAAAACTGATTTAAAGGGATATCTGTGATTTAGTGGTCAAATTGTGAGTGAAAACAGTTCAGTTGAACCGTCATTTTAAAGTGGTTTGAACAGCAGGTGTATGGCTGTTTCCTGACTGACTGTCTGTTGCTGCTGCTGATGCTTTAGTTTCATGTTCAGACGAGTATCTGGGATACTGTACTTTTGGTTGGCTAGAATGGAAAACCGCTTGCATTTTCATTTTCTACTTTAAGTCTGCTGTAACTCAATAAATACAGAACCAACTGTAAAACCGTCTGTCTTCCAATGTAAAGTGTGAAGTGTATGTATCAGAAACCTGAGTTTGGACGAGGTACAGGGAGACTGATAAACATTACTTGTTTACTTCAGTGCAGAATTATTTAAAGTTAAACAGACAGAAACCCAGTGAGGAGTTAAACAGAATCTGAGAAAAATCTCTTGTAGACTGGCCTACTGTCAGCTTATTTTAAATGTTATACATTTATACTTGCTTGTATCAGTTTGAAATTATGCATTTGTTCAAGCCCATTTGTAATCAAACACACGTCAGCAGCACCAATTACTGCAGCTAACAAACTGTTGAGAGTCCTTAATAGGAGGCTTTTAATAGGACTTGAATTTGACCGAATGTGTCGGTGCTACACAAAACACCGTACATGTTTGGGGTCATAGTAAACCTTTTAGTCTGTGGCCATTTGCAGATTAAGTGGCAACTCCAGAACTGCCAGCAGAACAATGTGAAAATAATGAGTAAAACCTTGCCGCCATCAACCCACTGACTGTATAAACTGTTGCAGTTTGCGTAATACAACATTAACTTCTTTTTGAGGCACAAATATTAGCTTTTGACTGCCGGCTCTTTCAAGCCTCTGACACTAATATAGCTTGAGGAGCTATTACGGTAAATATTTGTATGGAAAGTGCCTCAAGAGGTCCACAGTAGTTTTTATAGGTTTCACTATGCTGGATTCATGGAGGACATTGACAGTTTAAAGCGGTTTATCTCAGATTTCAGGTCTGTTCTGCTGCACGTAGGCAAACGGAGGTCACTCATATACGTTTGTGTGGCAGTTTCTTTTATACTCGTATATATTTTACGTTTGTCTTGATCTTCATTTTGAACCCAACTCCCAGCAGGAGGTGACTCAGCCAATAAACTTGAGCTCCTCTTCTCTTCTCTCAATCTACGATTACCCATAAAACCCTGCTATGCAGAGGCATTTAGGTGCATCTTCGGAGAAGCATAAATTCAGCTTTATGTGCACATTGTTCAAATGCAATTAACAAATTCAGTCAAGGCACATTTGTATCATAGCATTTGCATAAAAAAAAAACTGAGCAGCAATAAAGTGGAGAGTAAAACTATGTATCTTATATATGAAGCTGAAACAATTAGTCAGAAAATCAATTCGTCCACTGACAAAAAGATATAGTATAATAGTAATAATAATTAAAAAAAAATATATATATATATATATATAATTGATCAAGTCATTTTCATGCTCAAATGCAAAACATTACCTAGTTCAGACCTATAAAGTGTGATGAGTTGCAGCTTCTCTTTGTTGTATGTCGATGTAAATCTCTGGGTTTTGGACCAAACAAACAAAGCGATTTTCACTGTTTTCTGATATTTATAGAACAAGTGATTAATCACAAAAATAACTGGCAGATGAATTGAAAATGAGAATAATAGCGTCTGCCCCAATTGTATATTGTACATACAGTTAATGATTCTCAACCAGCAGGGACACTGGCACATAATTGGCTGAGCTCTCCTGCGCAAGTGGATAAAAAGGTTTCATCCAAGCGTTGCCTTGAAACATGGATAATACAATAATTACACACTCAGACTCGCTCATCCTTTCAATAAACAAGTTATATTTACAAAAAAAAGGAGCAAAATCCCATCTTCACCTCATTTTGGTTAAGATCGGATCTTAAGACAGAGGAAGATCAAGTCTGTGCTTAAAAAAACATTTTACACCCATGTAAATTCAGACATGGAAACAGCGCTCTCTAAATAGCTTTGCCCATGTTCTGCGGAGGGGTGGTTGAGAGCACACTCCCAGTGTGTAGGTAATTACAATGTAATCCGATATGGCATCACAGAGAGAGAAAGGACGGGAACACAAGAATCAAAATCAACAGCATGCTGGTGTGCAGCTGCAACATCTCTTGTCTTGACAGTCCGGTGGCAGGGTGTGGAGAGAAGGCAGAGGGGAGGGGGGGTAAAAAGAAGAGGACAGAAAGGAAGAAGAAAAGGGGAGGCAAGAAGAATCATCATTTAAAAAAAAAAAAATTAAGTTTATTCATATTTTCTTTTATCTGCTTCACATGGACAAACCTGCAGTAGCAGTAATAGTAGTGCTGGCTTTAATTTGAGCCTATAGCCAGAGTCTGTCTGTCCTGCTGTGCGCCACTGTCTTGCTTAAAATGTGTGCTTCTTCAAATTTCTTCCTGGTGTCTTCTTTATAAACTAAACTTAACATGACATAAGATGTGGTTTTTTTTCTTTTTTTGAAAAATTGGAAAAAGCAAGCATTTTAACCCGATACATCAACTGCACAGCCGTTTGTTATTGGGAGCAAAGGGGGGGGTTGGCTCTCTCTGCTCTCTCCTCTCCTCTCAATCATCCCCCAGACGGAAGCCTTGGCCCCAGTTGTGACGTCCTCCTCCTCCCCCGCCTGCCCCCGCATGCTCCTGGGCAGCTGGTCTCCTGGTGGGAGGGACTCCAAAGCCGGACACCCCTCCCCTCCTGTTAGGGAAAAACCGATACCTGGAGAGAGATGTGCAAAGGGATGAGAAGTGTTAAAATATGATCTGTAAAACAGACAACATTGGAATCTATTTAACGGTACTTTGCAAGCAGGTGATCAAGCAACAAATCCTGTTTAAAAAAAAAAAAAAAACTAGTAGTAGTGTTTGTTTTTTTAAATTAATCCTGTGATCTGGTAAAATAGCAAAGCACGTACCCACAGCCAAGTAACAAATAAGTCTTAAATAACACAAGCAGTCACACGAATACACATGTTCATTTTGTGGCCATGTGAGCAATGTCCTCTTGGTATAGCTGTTAGTCAGTTGGGGCAGGATGTTTTTCACATATTCTCTGCTCTCTCTCGTTATGCATCACTGTGAATGGGTGGCCAAACAAGTCTATGCTCTTGGGATTAATAAAGCTCACTCAAATATCTAAAATACTTGTTTGGAAGTGAAACCAAAAGTGAATGCAAATCATTATTCATTTCTTTGTGAAGGTGACTGCAGGAACCACTGCACTAAGTATATTTGGTTCAAGCTGAACTCCAGATGAACATTTACAACAGTGTGTTTGACTAAAAATCTTCACTTTGATTTTTGTTTTTCTTTTACAAACAAGTGGTTTAGGTAATACAGACGAGCTCTGGACATGTTTAAACCCTATCCAATAACTTTTCTGGTTGCCTAATGCACTGCATTTCTAAATCTATCTTACATTTGTTTATTTTTAGTCACAATAAGTTCCTGGTCTACTGGTCTACCAGTCCAAGTGAAGCTGTAGCAGCAAAAGCCAAAAGTGTGCTGAAATAAGTATAGGTGCATTTCATTCCTTATGTAAGAGGAAAAATTTGTTACAAAAGTTCCATAGTTTTGCTTTAAAGCTATGTATAGCACAACCTCAGCAAGTGAGGAAATTGTTCTAACTAAAAAGAGTTGAGACCATAACTCCAAAATCAAACCCAGGCTGGAAAAGAAACTTACAAGAACTCTGGTGTAGAGAGGAAGGAGCGTCCTCCCAGGTCCACAGGGTATTTGAACATGAGGAAGAAGTAGAGGTGACCCACCAGGTTCCCTGTCAGTTCATCTACAAACCTGCACAATAACAGCAGAGTGAAATAACAGAAATATTAAGTTTAAACACTTAAACATACTGTAGGCGTATCATACTTTGGAATACAGAAACAGAGACCATTCCTTGTTACTTTAAAGACACTGAATGTACCTTTATGGTACCACAGACTATTAAACTCTCTATTGTCTCTGATTCAATTCATTAGAATTAGTTACTTACGAGCCTCCAATGATGAAGTTGAAGCCCAGGATGACCCAAGGTAGATAATGTGCCTGGGACAGAGCAACAGAAAATATCATAATCAATAGTCATATCATTAATATGAGTATTAATAAGTAATAATAAGAAGGCTTCACATTCAGGTAATAAATGTTTTATGTGTTCTGACATTACTGTAAAATGTGAGATACTTTTATTAAGACTAAGTTTCCTCGATACAATTGTATCTGTGATGTAATAAGCTGGTGATAAAACATGAGGTACCTTGAATCGTGTCCCGAACCAGAAGGACACAATCGTGTCTTTGTTGAACTGAGCCCAGACGTAGAGCACTGACATGATCAGTGGGATCATCAGCAGCTGAAAACAACAACATAAACAACAATATATGAGTCCAATGATACTGCATCAACAAGACAGCTGTGTAAAAAAGCTTTAAGTTTTGGTCACATCAGGGACTAGTCTTGAATTTTAGCAAGTGCAATATTGCGAGTGTTTTATACAGGGGACTCTGCAAAGGAGGGTTTATTGTGAAAAGCCTCTTCAATGAGCCTAATAAACTTAATCAAGATTAAGTGGTTTCATAAAACCAACTCAGAGCTGAGCTGGGTTTAAGAACTGTAATATGTATAGTAATATGAACAGTTTTTTATTGTAAGCTCTGAAAGTGAAAAATGCTTATTTGCTTTCTAAAGTTAACGTTCGCTAACACCAAATGAGAAGATTGACACCATTACCGCACTAATGTATGCTAGCTAAGTTAAGTTAGCCTAGCATAAAGACCGGGAAAAGTGCAAAACAGCTAGCAAGGTACGGTAAAATACACTTTCTAGCACCTTAACAGGCTGTATCTTATTTGTTTAATCCCTACAAACACCGGACCATTTCCAGGCAACCAGTGGAGACTCCAGTAGTTACTGGTCCCAACCAAGAAACAGTGTGGTACATAACCCGCCCCAGAAAACAGGTGTGTAAGCTAGTGAGGTTTAATGGTGCTGGTGTGAGAGATTTATCAATCTTCTCATCTAACTGTCAGCAAGAAAGCAAACACACATATTCCACAAAATGTCAAACTTTTCCTTTGAGTAAGCCTGGTTCTTGTGGTCTTCTTGCATTATGAAGCACTCCTTAGATCTCAAGTGTAAATTGCAAACAAATGCTACATGCTTTATATACAGTATACACTGGTCATAATTTCATGTTGTGTTATAAATACAGAGAGAGAGAGAGAGAGAGGAGCATTCTCACCTGCATGTTCATCAGCAACCCAGTTATCTACAGCTCAAGTCAAGGACAACAACCTCATGGCTCAATACAATCACAGCTAGAGCCTTAAGATTAGAGCAGCCATTTCTACCTCTTCCCCTAAAGCAAGGCGTCTAACATCGGCAGATCAGTCCTCGCCTAACCTCCCACAACTCACTTTTTTTCTTTTTTCACCCATTCCCCGTTTGCTTGTGGTAACACAAACTGAACACTTCAGGTTTAGAGGGAACATGATTTTGCCCAAATGTGTCTTATAAACAGGAAGTGTCTGAACAGTCAGACGAGCTGACAATCAGAGCTGAACTCCTGACAAAACGACACAGTGTTGAGATGTGGGCCGGGCTGTACTGCTGGTGCTGCATGTGACCTAGATTAGGTTTCTCTGCTCTGCAGGGGTAGACTGACACTGGGCCACTGGCACAGAGCCACCCTGACATGGCACAGTGCTGCAGAGAGAGAGGGAGGTACAGAAAAGACAGATGAAAGAGTAATGCAGAGGGGAAAAGAAAGCAGCAGAGAGCTAGAATCAATGGTGGAGAGGACTCTCAGATGCTGTAGGTAGATAGTAATTTATCATTTAATCAGAAGGTTTTAAAGGGTTTGTGATGCCAGTCAAAGGATACAACAATGCAGATCCAGTTGAAGAAGAGCATGAAGATATAGTCTGCAGGTCTGCCATCAAACACCCCTGGAAAAAAAATACCAAGAAAAAGATTAGCATGACAATAAACAGCACTCAGCGTGTGTGTGTGTGTGTGTGTGTGTGTGTGTGTGTAAGCCACTGAGGCCAGCAGCTTCACCTGTCTCTAGCCGAGAAGAGTACTGGTAGAGGAAATAGAGGTTGACCAGGTACAGAAACCCAGTAGAAGGGGTTACTGGGAAATACAAGGTGGCTGTCACTGGTCTCCAGAGCTGAAACAAACAGAGACATAATAGAAATGTAGTAAGTAATCCACATAGCTGCGTTTGTTCCCAGATCCAGACTTTCAAGGCTGTGCTTGTAACACACATGAAGTCTCGTGTGGATTGTAAATGATAACTTCTAAAAGACAGACAGCCGGTGCTCCTCTGCAGAGTGTGTTCGCTCACAATTTGTTTCAGAGATTTTTTGTTTGATGGCAACAGACATCAGATCAATACAGCATTTATGAGGTGACTTGCAAGGTGATGAGCATTTTAATTGTATTCAAGGGGAAAATGACAGAATACAATTGCAACCTACAATTCTTAAGTGGAACAAATTGTAGCTGGGCCTAGATTCTAACCAGATAGGATTCACCATTTTACTTTTATATACAATCTTGATATTCAACTAATCTGTTTAATCAAGACAAAATGTCTGATTCTAGCCTTTCTAATCTGACCGGGCTCCTACACCTTGTGATGGATATTTTCACTCTGTTGTCATAGACTGAACGATTAATCAACAAAATATTTATGGATTCATCAGAACAGATTAATCTATTATTAAAATAATCATCAATTGCAGCCCTATTCAAAATATCTACTAACTGAGTGGTCCTTATCATTTGTTGAAATTGTACATAATAGGTGCATGTGGATATTCAATTCAATTTTATTTGTATAGCGCCAATTCATAACAGAAGTTATCTCAGGACACTTTTCAAATAGAGTAGGTCTAGACCGAACTCTTTATAACATATGTCTTCAGCTTTGGAGCATTTGAATTTGGATTAAACTTCCACCCATGGTTAGTCTAAAAAAATTGATTTCTGTGTCCACCAGCTGCCCTCTGAAGCCATAAGACAGCATAATAGTTCAAATGTCGCTAACTGTGCAGGACTAGCCAGATACTGAAACTTCAAGCAGCTTATAATATGGTACTGACTGAAGAGCCATTTGGTAATAATGAAATTAATCATGGTTTTCATCTATATCTTCGATTAAGATTAATAGCCCACAGTATGTCACAAGGTCGAATTCTTATTCAGTTGCCGGGCAACAAAACATTTCCAAGTAAATAGAGTAATACAATAATAATCTATTCAGCTGCAGCACTGCCTGTGTTTCTCCAAGATATCAGTAACCTACTGTGGCTGTCACACCAGCTTGCTCTCTGGCAGGTTAAACAGTAGGCAGTCTGTCATATAATATCACACTACAAAGAGTGTAATGATTGCTTAAATAACCAGTGTGGTGGAAGAATTATTCAAAGCCTTTACTTGTGTAAAAGAGGCAATGCCACAGCATAAAATTAGTCTAATACATATACAATAAATATTGCCCTCAAAATATGACCTTAGTAAGAGTAGCCCACCTAAGTATTAAGAGACAAATGTACTTAAAGGTATCAAAATAAAAGCAGTAGCATTTTACTGATGTGGCTGGTGAAGGTGGGGCTCATTTTAACTACTTCATATATTGTTAGGAATTTTAGTCTAAAACAATGCATCATATTTTATAAACTTGCAACACATTTTTAGGTAATAACAAACTCTTGGTACCTGCAAAATACATTTAAAATTGAATCTAGTAAAACAGCTATATATTCCCCCCTTAAAAAAGTATCTTAGACTTATTTGCAGTACTTGAGTGTACTTCCACTGCAAGTATCTAGGTTGAGGGGATATTTTGCCCTGAGCTAGGTCTTTTAGGATACATATTCACATCCTGCCTCCTAACCTTGTATAACCTCACTGTTGACCTCACAGTGATGGAGGGATATAAAGGAAAAAACGCTGCTTGAGCTGCTCATCAGAGCAAGAAATTCCCTTTACAATTAGTCCAAAATACTTTCTCCACCTTGTGGGACGCACCACAGTGACTGCACTTCCATTAAACAGCTCAAAGGTAACGCTGGCAGTTGAAATACTATGTTTTGTGGTCCGTGTATGTTTTGGTCATTGGATTTTCCTTTCAGAAACGGGTATTAAAAAACAGAAAACGAGTGGTTATTTGATTTTCGTTTTAAAATACAAAAATTAAAATTGAAATACAAGGCGTTTTTCTTTTTCATGGTCAAAAAGGGATGAGAGAAATAAAAAAAAATATTCGATTTTCATTTTCTATTTCATATAATAAAAAATAAAATCACTAGAAAACAGAAACGGAAAAAAGGCCTGTTGTTTCATATTCTGAGACCGGATGTTGTCATTTACAGGACGGTGCTGTGGAGAAGAAACAGTAGACTAGTAGACTGCGGTCAATCCAGCCGTGAGTCCGATCTCCGTGGTCAAATCAGCCGCACTTAAATTTAGAGTATTCTCAGCATTATGGTAAATGCGGAGAAACAGCGTATTTACTCCCGGTTTTCAAAATAAAGGTATTAAGAACAGTAAGCTATCATTCGAACCTACATTTAAAATAAAATATGTTACATTAAAGTGTTTCATGCGCCTCTGATGGATAAAAAACACGTTATATCAAGTATCTTTACTGCACCAGTGCTCAGTATTTCCAGGCTATGGGTGAAGCATTTTCATTATAACGTTACTTCAATAATGATGCAGTAATCATGACAAAAATCGTCTTATTTTGCAGCTCTACAGCTGTCACACTGAATCTGTAAAAGGGAAAAATAATTAGTTTTAACTTCAAAACACCATTGTACCTACTGTCTCTTCCTCATATATTATTTTTCCCTTTTACAGATTCGCGTGACAGCTGTTGCAGTTGGTTCCACATACAGTGGAACTACCTTTTATTCTTAAATTTCTCCACATTGGTGCAGTAGAAATGCTTGATATTAAGTATGCTTGTAGTCTTAGATGTGTAGAAGTAAGATATACCATCCATAGCCAGGAATTATTGTTTTTAAAGTAGCTCAAAATATATGAAAATACCACTTGGAGATACAAATATGGACTTTTATTGTTGAATTTCTCCAAATTGGTAAAATAAAAATGCTTGATATTAAGTATACTTGTAGTCTCATATGTGCAAAAGTCAAATATACCATCAGTAGCCAGGAAACACTGAGCAATATGTTTTTACAGTACCTCAAATATGGTCAAATATGCAATCTCTGGAGGCATAAATATGAGACTTTTATTTTGGCATTTCTCCACACTGGTGCAGTAAAGATACTTGATATAAAGTGTTTTTTATTCATCAGGGGCGCATAAAACACTTTAATGTAACATATTTTATATTAAATGTAGGTTCGAATTATAGCTTACTGTTCTAAATACCTTTATTTTGAAAACCAGAAGTAAACACACTGTTTCTCCGCATTTACCATAATGCTGAGAATACTTGTACACTCTAAATTTAAGTGCGGCTGATTTGACCACGGAGATCGGACTCACGGCTGGATTGACCGCAGTCTACTAGCCTACTGTTTCTTCTACACAGCACCGTCCTGTAAATGACAACATCCGGTCTCAGAATATGAAACAACAGGTCTTTTTTCCGTTTCTGTTTTCTAGTGATTTTATTTTTTGTTATATGAAATAGAAAATGAAAATCGAATCATTTTTTAAATTTCGCTCATCCCCCTTTGACCATGAAAAAGAAAAACGCCTTGTATTTCAATTTTAATTTTTGTATTTTAAAACGAAAATCAAATAACCACTCGTTTTCTGTTTTTTAATACCCGTTTCTGAAAGGAAAATCCAATGACCAAAAGATACACGGACCTTTGTACTCGTATTACACCTTATTTCACTGTTGCTAAATTAAGTAGCATTTTGACAGCATCCGGAAGTCGTAACCTCGTGCGTCTCGCCCTCTCATTGGCTGTGACGCAGCGCAGGCCTCCTGAGTGAGCCTTGCTAGCCACCTGCTAACTAACAACAAACTACATCGAAAACACAACAACAGTGGCGTTTATCAGCTCCTCCGACACACACAGTAGAACAGAGTTAACGAAGACTTACATGAAATCTGCTAAAGACCAGCTCGGGAAACAGCAGGAGGTTCCTGAAATTAATCAGTCCTAGTTTCCCAATAAGGGGAACAGCAACCGAGGCAGCAAACCAGTACCGGGTGACAAAAGGGATGCTTCTGAACCAGTCCCCAATGTCCGACATGTTTCCATACAATTACTGACGAATTACAACCCTGAAAAAACAACTCCTCTTTCAAAATTAACCGATATCCCCCCCAAAAAACTGCGACCCCTCACTGTCTTTATTTCAGAGCTGCTCCGCTGCTAAGTTTACATGACGTGGCTAATCAGAGGGAGCTAGCTTTGCATAGGTTACTGACACATCCGGTTCAGCTTTTCAAAGTAAAAGCAAACGGACTACTGCTACTACTGGTATTACTACAGATAAGAAGAATAAGCCAACATATAATAATAATAATAATAATAATAATAATAATAATAATAATAATAATAAAGATAATAAAAGTTGTGTGTTGACAAAGAATAAAAATGGAAGGCATTGGTAATTAACACATATTGGATATTTTAGGGAAATAAGCAATGGTTGTTAGGAAATGAAAGATATTCCATTTATAAGGTAAATAAGTGGTGTCATCACTCAAATTCTAAAATTAGTTCAAATTGTTTGTTTCTGAGAAAGCTAATACTTTTATGATGCACCCAGTGTTGATTGTTTGTTAGAGAAATCTTACAAACATTTCTGGTAAAATTTTGTATGCTTAACTTTTCTGGTGCCCTTTTGGGGCTTTTTGCCTTATTCTTATCAGACATTATTACACACATCATAATAATAATCAAGGATTTTGACAATGGACACTTGACAATAGCTGCAGGCAACACCAATGAAGGCCCATCTACGTCTTAGCTGTGTTGTTCATTTATTTATTTATTTACCTCATTATTTTTTTATTTATTTTGAAGGTGTTTTTTGTTTTGTTTTATAATATGCTCTTAGTTTGAAGAAAAACACCTTTTGGTTTTGCTGTGAATTATTTTAGTACTTCCTGTGAATTTTGCAAAAGCAACTGTGTTGACCATGCAGAGGCAGCAAGCAAATGAAAGAGGCATGCCAGAGATTACTTGTCTTACAGTGGAGAGTCAAGCCTCTGAAATAGTGTTTGGAAGGCATAGGGGGAAGGAGTTAATATAAGGAGTAGGAGATGGATTTCTGACAAACAATACTGAGGCAAATTATACATTTTTATGAAATTTCATGTTCTCACATCACTTCATAACCCAAATGTTTTAGGTTTCAGGTTTTGGGACCCATTTTGAATGAAGAGATGTGTTAATATCTCACATTATTTTGAGATACTAAGTCAAAATATTAAGAAGGTTTCTCAATATAATGAATCTTTTTATTTTGTCACATTGGCAGAAATAGGCTTCCATACAATATACAGTGCGTCTGGGCGAAGGTTTACTCTCTATAGTGCCCTTATTTTTGGTTGGAACCAACTTGATTGGGAGAAATTACCGAAGAGTGACTTCTGTAAATCACCACTGAGGGATCATTGCTACTTTTTATATTTTAATGTTAAATGACAGCTCTCTAAAGTAGACATTTAGAGCACTGTTGTCAGCTGTCCGATCAGAATAAATAAGAAACAGATGACCTGCAATGACAGAAAAGAGAGAATAAAGAGGAAGTGTGAATGAGAGCAGACACATATACCTAGATAATTTGAATTATTATTTTCATTTAAAATGAAGATACTCATCTCAGATGTTGTTTTGTAAATCTGGCAGATTTAGATATTAGGTTAGTTCTTTGTGTTCAGAGTAAATAATATATAGTTAAAAATACAAAAATTAGGGCGTCTGGTAAGTTAGAACTGGCGACCCATGTACCGAGGCTGAGTCCTTGCTGCAGTGGCCCAGGGTTCCAGTCCGACCTGCAGCCCTTTGCTGCGTGTCATCCTCTCTCTCTGCCCCCCTTCCTGTCTACCTTCAGCTGTCTCTAACAATTAAAGGCAATAGAAGCCCAACTCTGGGTTGTGATTGCCAGGAAGAGGGTCACAACATTTCAGACATTAGCTATTAATTTAAAGCTTTTCTAATTAATATCAATATTACAACTATTACTTTGTGTAAAGGGATCAGTCATAGTGACAAACACTTTATGAGTATTATCACCCACCCCATTTGAGTCCACTAAAAAAAAAGGCTTGTACTGCAGGCTTTTATACAGTACTTAATTGTATAAAAGCCTGCATCATATTTTTTTACACATTTGACATATTATGACATATTCACATATTATGACCCCAAAATAATACAGTGTTTTTTGTTTATAACTTGTATTATATTTTATTAATAATACAAGAATTAGTTACATGGGAATGATGACATATTCACAAATATCATGGTCCACTTACTGTCTCCATTGTGTCCACATTTCCTATTAATGCTAGTCCTACCCATTTAATGTTTATATATCTCTTCTCTCACCTGAATGCTCTATTTAGAGCAGAAAAGAGGAAAAATACATCCATCTTCTTTTCATCTACAAGGACATGACCATGATTCAATCATGAATGGTCTTCCTTTCTGTTTCTGTTTTCCTTACCCTTAATACCAGCATGCTTTCACCTTTATCTGATCTTGTGTTTTTCACTGCTTATTTCTTTGGGCAGGTGATTGGTTCACCTAGAGAGGGGACGAGGCTAATGCACTCTGACTGGTATTGCACAGCATGTTCCAGGAAGTGTGTGACTGTCCACCAATGGTCTACACCCATAAGCTGGCACCCTACTTTCCGGGGCCCCAGTGGTTCACCTAGCTGTGCACTTCTACCATTCACACCACTTTAAATGATTGCTGTGTCGAGTCTGTGAGGCTCCACTGTCTGCTTCCTCCAGACGTAACTGCTCCCCATAATCACTGAAGGCCAGAGAGCCTGTTCAATAGCTTTTTATGGTCTGGAATCTGGGTTTCATAAACTTGAAAATGAGGCCTTTTATTAGGACACTTTATATAATACAAACACACTTCAGAAAATGTACATGGTGAGGTTAAAGTAAATTTACTATCTTATATATTCATTTTATCAAAAGGGTTTCTTCTGGATATTTGGTGGTTTTGTGTTGGGTATTTTATTGGCACAACCTCATATTTTTTTATATATAATTGGGAAACCTGTGGATAAAATGTAAATGAAAGATTCATTTAATATCCAGAGCTGCATTCATAGTAGTGCAAATAAAGATTTGTAACAGCATTAAAGCTTTCATGCTGGGAAGTAAAATTTATGGAAAATAGAAGCTTCCTTCAGCAAAGTAACACTTTAAAACGGAGGAATAATAATTTAGCCTACTGTGTACAAACAAATATATAAAAAGCTACATGAAACAGTTTAATATTGTATATTTTCTCGAGTGGCAGACTTTGGTTTGCGCCGTCGCTGAAACATTACTCGTGTTTTGAACTACAACTCCCAGAATGCACGCGTCTGTTTACCTTTTACGTCAACCTTGAGCGACAAAATAACCGTCCTCTCCGAGCAAGCAAACAAAAAAAACTCCTGGGACAAGTTGAAGGAAAGTGTTATCGTAGTGTCTGTTAAACTGTGCCTGTTGAACTCTGACTAACACTACATGGTGCTGAGCTGTGTGGCCTCTCTGCTCGTAACTTCAAACTAAATATACTCAATGTTGCTCTTTCAAATTTCGCGCTGTTTGCTCCGCCTGTGAAGAGATTAGCTGGCTAGCCCGGTAACTAGCCATGTTACTGTAAGCTGGGTCAGTAACTTTAACGCAAGTAACGTAAAAGGGGGATATTCTTCTGTTTTCCTCAATTCATTCCGAGTTTCTACCGACGTCTTTAAAATGGAGGTGACGGACATTGGAAACAAAGAAGAGGGGAAAGTCTGGCATCGAAAACCAACAGCAGGCAAAGGGTAAGTTGTCTGAAGTATCTCGATGATGCTCTATTAGTTCTCCTGTGAACCTGATAGATTGAATGCAGTAAGATTTATCTGTAACATGCACTGAACAGCCTCAACATAACATTGATCTTATGTTCAGTCACACTTGTTGCTCTCTTGTACATTCATACAAGTACCAACTCTAAATAAACACCAATACAATGTTACTACTGTAATACTGTACTCTCCCAAAGGATGCCACTTTAGATTTTTAATGTTGTTCTTCTTCTTAATACGATTATGTATCCCACCTAGATAACTCAGTGTATTAGGTTGGAGGATAAAGATGTAAGATGTCTGTTGAGTAGAGATATATTCTTTATTTGTATTACCTGTCAGTGTTTGCAGGTAGGGTTCAGTCTAATCTAAGGTTGTGGCTGGGGATAAAATCTGTATTAAAGCTATAAGAGTAAAATCGAGTCCAGGAAATCATATCAATTCGCTGTTTTAAGAGCAAGAAAAATTTAAAGCAAAGCAAATCACAGCTGATAAGTCGTCTAACACCAGATTATTATTTAATATTTCTCATAGCTTGCTTGGTAAGTAATCAGGAAGTTGTTGTAGAGCTGAAACAATTACTCAATTAATTAATTAGTTGATCTAAAAAGAAAATTCATTTGCAATAATTTTGATTATTGTTTATGTAAAGATCCCAATTAAAAACACATGTATGTGCCTCTTATCTTCTTGGGGTGCTGAACATCAAAAATACAGTACAAACATGCAGTTAGAAAATACAAACAACTTAAAATATAAAAGTACTCGGCAAATCAACTCACAAGTGACAACAAGAATAAAGTTATAACAGACAACAATGCAATTAACATAACATTTTATTTGATAATTGTCAAAAATGCCATTAGTGCCAGATCCCAATAACTATTTGGGGCATGAGAGAGTAACAGCAGCCTCAAAGTGGATTTGGTTGTTGCAGGAAAGCTGCATTTAATTGTTCAGCCATCTATTTCGGGGTGTATTACAACCACTAGAGAGCAGCCATGATTCACTGACATGTTATGCTGTTCATATGAACTCTCTCAGTGTGTGCGCTTCCCCTTTAATGTGTGTTGTTTGTGTTCCTCAGAGTGTTAGTGACGGTGATCCGCACTGCTCAGCAGGCCAAGACGGTGCGTTTCCTCCATGTGGCCTTTGACACCACAGGAGACTCCTTCCTGGCTGGTGATCACCATGGCAACATCTATGTCTTTGACATCAGTAGAAACAGGTGATTGAGTAGGATCAAAAGCCCCAAAATAATACAGTGTTTTTTGTTTATAACTTGTATTATATTTTATTACTAATACAAGAATTAGTTACATGGGAATTATGACATATTCACAAATATTATGGTCCACTTACTGTCTCCATTGTGTCCACATTTCCTATTAATGCTAGTCCTACCCATTTAATGTTTATATATCTCTTCTCTAACCTGAATGCTCTATTTAGAGCAGAAAAGAGGAAAAATACATCCATCTTCTTTTCATCTACAAGGACATGACCATGATTCAATCATGAATGGTCTTCCTTTCTGTTTCTGTTTTCCTTACCCTTAATACCAGCATGCTTTCACCTTTATCTGAACTTGTGTTTTTCACTGCTTATTTCTTTGGGCAGATTTCGTCTGGTGCAGAAGACAGGTCAGGCTTGCACTGCTCTGGCATTCAGCCTCCGCAGGACCACAGAGTTCCTTGTGGCCCTGGCTGACTACACCATCAAGTGCTTTGACAAAGGTAGGATTCACACAGGTCTTTTAATAGTCATTCTATGGGTGTATTCTGTTTTTGGGTTCACATTTTTAATGAAACTCGCTATTGTATCATTTTCTCTCTTTCAGACACAAAGCAGCTGGTCAGTTGGATGCGGGGTCATGAGGGAGCAGTTTCATCCATCTCTGTCCACAGCTCAGGTCGTTACGCCATCAGCACGTCCTCAGACACGGCTCAGCTTTGGGACCTGGACTCCTTCCAGAGGAAGAGGAAGCTTAACATCAGACAGTCTGTTGGCATTCAGAGGGTAAACATTCAGACACACCACATTTACAAATAGTAGCAGTTTATCTGAGGATTGAGTCATGTTGTTTTTTTTTTTTTTTAAATTAGGATTTAGGTTTTTTGTTAATACCATATAGCCAGTACATTTATGGTATGCACTAAATTTGTTCCCCCTTTTCATTGTCGTCACGGCACACTCTTGTTTGTGTTGCAGGTGTTTTTTCTGCCTCTCAGTAACACCATCCTCAGCTGTTTCAGTGATGACTCCATCTTTGCTTGGGAGAGCGACACACTGTTCTGCAAATACCAGCTCCCTGTCCCCGACTGCGGACCTAAAATCTCCTACAAGGCCTTTGCTGTCACACGGTGGGTCTCTCACGTCACACCCACTAACCCACTAATTATGTAGCTTCTCAGTTGAATTCTTCATGACTACATTCCCAACCCTTTTTAACCTCTAAACAGTTCATAAGCACAATGAAAGATAAAATAAATACGGATCAGAGGGCTTCATCAAACACTAATATACCTGATTTGCGTTGGCAGTGATGGTAAGAGCCTTGCTGCTGGTGGACGCTCCAACCTGCTGCACCTGTGGTGTCTGGAGAGCAAACAGCTGGTAAGGGTGATTCAGATGCCCACGCAGGTCCGAACCGTCCGACAGCTGGAATTCCTGCCCGACAGCTTTGACGGAGGAGCCAGCCAGGTACTCAAACACCTCTGTTCTCCTGCTCCGGAGTCTCGTTTTGTTTGATTTCAAATTTTTACCATGTTTATGTTTAACATGTTAACTTTTTCTCCACAATAAGCTTGTGTTCTCTGTGTGTTATTTTTTTTTTCTCTGCAGACCCTAGGCGTACTGAGCCAGGACGGCGTGATGCGCTTCATTAACATTCACACCTGCAAACTGCTTTTCCACATGGGTTCCCATGACGACGCCATCACCACAGTGGCAGTCAGCCCCAACGGCCGACATGTAGTGGCCATTATGGATAACGGCAGCATCAATGTGTACAGCGTTCAGAGTCTCACACAGGAATTAAACAAGGTGACAGTCGAGTATTATTATTTGTTGATGTGTTGATAAAAAGATATTGATCTGTACGTGTATTCATATTGCGTGTGTGTCTCTCTCGCCATCTCCCAGCCTCCTCCCTCCCGGGTAGCAGTAGTCTCTGGCGGTGAAGCTGATCAGGAATTGTCTAACCTAAAGGTCAAAGTTAGGTCGGAGGTCGTTCAGAGACCAGCCAAGAGCTCTGGTAGGCGGACACAGGTGAAGACACTTAGACCCCCTGCTGGGTCTACAGCGGAGGATAAAGAGGTGGGAACAATGCACACCTATGTCCTGATACAAATTGAGTTTTCCTGGAGTTTCTGTAATGTAGAGTGATTGAAATTGATGAAAAGTTTACAGTTTATCATAGAGATGTTTAACCAGAAATACACACAAAGCATTTACCTCCATCTGACTGGGTGTGATAAGTGCTTAATTTACCTCTGTTGTTTTACGTTTTTGTGTGTCTGTCATTAGAATGAACTACCTGCTGGTCTGAATAAGAAGAGACTGGTGGCTCTGCTCAAGGCGTTTGGAGAATATCCTGCTAAGTACAGGTGAAGATTTCTTTCATAGGAGTATCATCATGACAACTTTTTAACACTTGTTGGTGTTAAATATTTACATGATTAATTTGTGCATCCATGTTGCAGGATGTTTGTATGGCGGTCTTTGTTGTGTCTCCCAGAGAACCACGCGGCATACAGTAGTCTGACTGATAAAGGCCTGCATTCAGCCTACCTCACTCTGCATGATAAATACCCCATCAAAAGTCACAAGCTACAGAGGGGATTGCAGAGGTACCCTCTCTCACTCACGCACGCACACACACACACTTGCAACTCCTTATAATAAAGCTTTTTTTTATAAAAAAAACACATTGTAACTGCAGGATTTGGAAGTTAAAGGATTTTTATTATTTATTTATTATTATTTGGTCCTTTCCTCTGCTCCACAGGGTTTTGTCTGCCTTAGCTCACTGGGCCGCCATATTTGGGGAGGTGGAGTACCTTCCCCTGATAGCCTTCCCTTTCGTCAAGCTCTTCCAGAACAACCCAATGCTCTGCTTCGAGGTGGTGGCCACAGTTATAGGTACTTAATGGTTGCAATTATACACCAACATTAAAACAACAGCCATGGTTCTTTAAAACTTTTAAAATACCTTTAATTACTTCAAGGTTTGTGCAATTTTATGTGTAGAGAATGTTTCTGCTACTTTTAAATTAATAAGCATAACGTCTAAGAAAAGGATTTCAAACTATTTTAAGTCTAAACTTAATTGAAGTTTTCCAATTGTGGCGCTGTTTATCAGTTATCTAAATGTCTTAAGGCAAAGTCAAGGTATCAGTCTGCTGAATACTGATGTTTGTTTGTCCAGTGAATTGGTGTCAGCATTGGTTCGAGTATTTCCCCAACCCTCCTCTGAACATCCTGAGCATGGCAGAGAACGTTCTGGCTCATCACGACAAGGAACTGCTGCAGCACCTGGTGGACTGTGGCATCACCTCACAGGTAACAGTAGCAGTACACAGCTGCACACAACTGGGGGAGAAGGGTACACAAGTGGTCAGAGAAGCTGTCCTGAAACATGTGATCACATGTCTCTGCCCTGTTTACGTTTACACGTGTTATCACGTCTCTCTGTATCTGTGGCAGCTCTATGTGTGGCCCCTGCTGGAGACCTTGTTCTCAGAGGTTTTGACTCGTGATGAGTGGCTCCGACTCTTTGACTCGATCTTCTCCAACCATCCATCATTCCTGCTCATGGCCTGTGTGGCCTACATCACCTGCTGCCGTGAGCCTCTGTTGCTTTGCTCCCAGAAACAGGACTTTGAGGTAACTACCTTCTCCTCTGAAAATAAAGTCAGCCCTGTAGTCAGTCAGTTAACTTTTCCATTTCTCCTCCTCCATCAATCTTTTTCGTTTCCGTTCAGTATTTCTTCCACCACCGGAACAACTTGGATGTGGGAGCCATGATAAAGGAGGCCTACCGGCTAATGGGCAACACACCAGCTGACCTCCATCCAAGGACTATGCTTTCTGACTTCACACCACTGACCAAAGGCCAGTACCCCGTGTTCAACCACTACCCAGAATTCATAGTGGAATACCAGAGCCGGGAGAGGGAGAAGATACGACTGCAGGAGATGGAGTATCTCCGCGAGAGGTGAGATTACAAAGAGTGTATTGACCGTGTTAATAAGGTAGACAGACAGAAAAGAAGCAACAGATGAAATGTGTGTGCGTGTTTGTCTCATCAGGCAGGAGGTGTCAGCCCTGCGTGCAGATTTTGTGCGTCGCCAAGCTGAAGAGGAGGCCTATTATGCACAACAGGTAGATGTGGTTTTCAAAATTTGTTTTAGGAAATAGATTTTAATGTAAGCTTGGCTTCCACATATAGTTTAATTATACATGAAAACCTGAAATGGAAATATAGTGAACTGAATCCTTGGACTTTGAACACAGGAGCTGCTGCAGAAGGCCGAGGAACAGCGTAGAAACATCCTGGCACAAGAAGAAGAAAAACTAACACAGCAGAGGGCGAAGTAAAAAGCACAAGACACTTCACTCCTCCATAGTTTATCTATGATGTGATTTAGCAGAGTTGGCTGCTGACAACGCTCTGTCCTCTCCAGGTTGGGAGCCATGAAGAGAGAGCTGAAGGTGAAGGAGTTACAGCTGCTGGACGCAACTAGAAGACGTTTCCTCAGTCACCAGCAGGACCTGAGAGCCACACAGATCCAAGGGCTAGATCAGGAGATCAGCAGAAAGGTAAACTCAACCTGATAACGTCTTTTCATATAAAGAGTCCACATAAGCAAGAGAGGCTTGTCTATTACACAACCTATCATTCTCTTCTTTTTGCCAGAAACACTGAAATATTTTTCAATGCATTTTTATTTCAAGCTGATGAACAGTGTTTTTAGGTTTAAGCAACAGCAAATTACTGTTTTTCCCAAAATGAAAACAAGTTTATCACGCTAAATGGACATGGACTGAATAACCTTCATGTTTGAGTACTACCCCAACTGTAACCTTTATGTTGTGCTACAGATGGATCTCAGAGAGAGAGAAACAGCTGCAGCAGTCCAGGATTTAGAAGTCAGACAGATGGAGCTGGAGGCTCAGAGGAGACGATTTGAACAGGTGACAAACACGTTGCATTCAGCCTTCCTTCCTCTCTCCTAGCTTCCTCTTTGGATTGATTTCTACCTCCCTTCCTCTCCCTCTTTCTCTCTCTCTGTGACTTATTTCTCCAATAATGACTCTCCTAAACCTAGATGTTTGCAGTTGAAATACCCGGAAGCATAAAATGTTACCACTGACATTGAATTGATCGACATTTGATAAAAATCATGGGTCTGTCTGTTCAGAGTTTTTGGAAGCAAAGTCACTCACAGGTTTGTTGTTTTTCCATGATTTCCCTCAGCACCTGTTGAAGGAGCAGGATCGTATGGGACGGGAAGTTGAAGAGGAGGTAGAGATGAGGATGAGGAAGGCAGAAAGAGAGGAAGAGAGTTACACAGAGCTGCTACACAACACAGAAACAAACATGCAGGTGAGTGACACCTAGTGCGGAGCCAGTGCAGTAATATTGACAGCAAACAATCTTGATGCACTCATACGTCCATCTGGCTTTACAAGAAACCATCAAAGCCACGCAGTCATCCAAACACTGATTTTGGCAAAGGTACCTGTGGTCCTTTAACTTTCTCTCTCCACACATGCAGGCCCTAGAGGAGTCCCTGGCGGACGCGTGCCAGCTGGGCTTGGAGTCGGACTGGCAGAGAGAGGTGGCGGAGCGCCTGCAGCAGGTGGATACTGAGCAGGAGAGGAAGAGGGAGAGACTGGCAGAGCTTCACAGGCAAACCCTGGCAGAGGAGGAGAGACTGGCTGACACCATGATAGATGTGGCAGGAAAGAAGGTGAGAGAAACAAGTGTGTTTGTCAACACATCAATTTACACGTTGTATTGGCTCGTCTGTGTACAGTTGACTGAATTCATGAGCTTTTCCGTTGCCATTAAAATATGTACTACCAAATAACCTTTAAGATAAAAAAAAGGTTTATATTTGTGTTTCTCACTAAGAAACACAACATCCTACCATCTGAGTGTATGAAACACTAACTGTTCCTTGTAATTGTACACAGTGGGATGAAGTGATGAGTACCAGAGCCCAATTACAGGAGCAGAGACAACCCCTGTCTTCAGACACAGGTATTACTACACACACACACACACCAGTTTAGTTTGTCTGTGAACTGTCCATTATCCAGACGGGGATCTAACATTACAGTGTTTGCTTTCTGCCAGATGGGATGAGACAGAGGAGGATAAGGTCGCCGTGTCAGACCAGAGGCCTTCTTCAGAGACCCAGTGCCACCACTGCTGTTTCTGTTGGAACCAGTACTACCGGTCCAGCAGTCAGACCCAACTCTGCCACTTCCCTAAAGCAGGCAGGAACCAACATGGTGTGTCTGAACAGCAGTTCACCTTCAGAGAGCACCTCCACCAACTGTGAGTCTTTTTAGATTAGTGTTTTCTAAAAGCTTCATGTAAGAGATAAAGATTAGAAGACTGTTGCTTGAAAATGTACTTAATTAATAATCAATTGCCATGTAATGTTCTGTCAATCAACTTGTTTTATTGTTGGAGCTCTACGTAATATGATCATTATTTTGAGTTTTTGTTTGAATAATCTTTCTACATTTCCTTCTGTCTTTGTCCTCTGTCAGTTTCCTTGGACCGAGGTCGGACCCAGCTAGACAGCAGCGAGAGAGAACTGCTGAAGGACATCAGAGAACTGAGGCAGAAGCTGGCGGCCAGAGCCAGAGAGGGCAGCTCTGCCTCCTCACAGTCTGTCCAAACACTATCCTCCGTGTCCCAGTGACCACATCTCTGTCGTCATATTGTCAGAAAAACATCTTCTTGTCTCAAGCGAGCTAGAACAACAGAAACAATGACTCAGACTGAGGAGCATACCGGCTAGCTGCTATCTGTTCACCGCTTTCATTATACCTTACCTCCATCTAAAACTACATATTATTAATGCAACCAGAATCAACAAGTTAACTGTTTACCATCAACCACAGTCTCATGAAAACCCATCTCTTCCATCAAAACAGCAGCACTCTGACTGGTTCTCTGTAAGGATAGAAACAGGTTCATCTTCTGTGTTTTGTGCTGTGTAGCCTGTGTCAGTCCTACAGGATCCAACTTTTTTTTATTATACCATCTTCCAGTTATTGTTCAGCTGTACACTATATATATTTTTAAATGTTTGCACTGATGCTCCATTTTGAATTTGTATTTGAATGAACTGTATATGATTTGTCTTATTTAAAACCAGTTTTAGATAAAATGTTTTTAAAAAACCTTGTGTTTCATTGTTTTCTTGAATATTTACATGCATTACTTCTTATCTGTTGTTGTTGGTGAGCAACAGAACAGTGATTGTAGCAGTAATTGATTTGTGATGCAGCTCTTCAAACTCCTGGCATTCAAATGTTTGCTCTGTTTACAGCTCCAGGTGCCATTTCCTATAAACAGAGTAGAGTGTATTTCAAATTGAACAACTTGCAATATACAAATCTAGTTCAGGGTGTTCATGTTCTGTGTTTCTGTTTATGTCAAGACATTTTGGTTTATGTAATTGGTGTACAACAGATGAGGACCTGTGTGCTTCTGGTCTGTCTAGGTGTGCCTGCAACTATCTGCCTGCTTAAGGTCCTTTAAGCATCCAGGTGTTGTTTGACATGTGCTGAAATGACAGCCATTCTCATTCCTGTCACTCACTCTTTTCTTTCCCTCCGCCCACCTTTTATGTTTGCTCACCGGCTCTGAATCACTCCGTCTCTGGAAAATATTTTTTTGTTCTTGACCTGATTAATCAACAACCAGAAACATACCTGGTGCCTCACAGACGTAAAGGAACATCTTAAACGTCTTAAAGCCAAATTACACTAAATGACTTTAAATATATATTTGCTACATTTATACATGGACATTTCTTGTATTCTCTCTTCTTTTCACCCTGCATTAGATGGTCTCATCAACATCTAATTGCCTGACCTTTGCTCTCAACTATCACCTGTCAACTCTCATCACTCATCACTATCTGGCCCTAAGCGGGGGTGGGGTTTGTTGGTCTCTCCAACCAGTAGTTCTTTAATGTCAGAGACGTGCAGGTAACCGACTCATTCAGGCTCTGAGGCTCATGCACCGTGGCAACATCAACAACTCGTTGTCTGAAGTAAACAAGACGTGCATTTCAGTCCTTTATCCATGGCTGGGTACATGAGGTCAGATCCCAAGGGGAAGGTAAGACGACGTGTTCAAGACCTTCGCATCCCTTCCTCCTCTTACTATGACTTCAGAGCCAGCAGACCCACGTTGGACCTGAGCCACAACGAGAGCATTCGGCTGGCAGTGGACTCCCTGCTCAGCTGGGGCTTGGAGGAATACCACGAGGTGTTGAACGCAGAGGGAGAAGTGGACTTTCTGTCAGAGCTGGAGAAAGTTTACATCCTGGAAAATAGCAGGGATGGCAGCACAGGTTGTAAATGTTTGTTTTTACACATTGTCCTGGGGCCTGTCTCAGAAAGTAGGTTTAACAGATTCTGAGCTTAACCCTGGACTGGAGATTAGTTTTCACTAAACCTGCTTTCTGAAACAGGGCTCTGCTCTTTGGAGCCTGTTGTCTTTAAAAACACAGAAAAGACATCAGTTTGATTCATTGTATAAGAAAGAATGATTGGTTGTATTGCTTTGTATTTGCCATAGCTTTATGCAGGGTTTTGTGCTTTACGCAGCTGATCCTGGTGTATCTGAAGATGATGACGAAGAGTTAGACAGCTTGTCTGCTGGCTCACAGTCTGCCACACGATGTCCTGGGATGTCCACAGACAGTGATCCTACCGTGGCAGGTTTGGACCTTAGCAACCTAAAAGGTAGTTTGGGAGAAGGAAACTTTTATGGAAGACAACTATTACATTACAAAAAACTTCTCTGATACATGTGCTTAAGTACAATCGTTCTGGTGGTTAACTCTTGATATTTGTGGAGTTAAAATCCTGCAGAATGCACTTTATTGGCAAATCAGTTTTTGATCTTTTCCGTTCTCATTTGCCGCCATCTCTGATCATGTTTTTGTTAATTCCAGATGTGAAGAGGACTGATTGTATCCTGGACAAGCCCAGCATTGAGGTTTATTTCCAGACTGATAGCAGGGCAGCTGGCATTAAAGACCTGGTCAGAGAGTTCATCAGGAAGCCTACAATGGTAGGTGTGTGTGAGTGCAGTGTGTGTGTGTTTCTTCATGCGCCTGCACATGCATGTGTTATATAAAAAGGAACATGACACGCTTGCCTGTACATGTGAGAGATGATGGAAAATGTTGCTATTTGATCTTATGTGCTGGAAAGTCAGCTACACAGTGAGTGATATCTGTCTGTGCAGGTCTTAGCCATAGTGATGGACAACTTCAGTGACGTAGAGCTGCTGTGTGACCTTCTGGAGGCGAGCAGGAAGAGAAACGTGTCAGTTCATCTGCTGCTGGATCATCTCAACCTGAACCTGTTTGTCAGCATGTGGCAGGACCTCAAACTCAACAGCAAGAACTTCCCAGTGAGTTTGTTTCCTTCCTTTTTTCCTATTTCAACTTCTATCCCTCTATAAATTAATCAAGCTAGGTTTTCCTTTGCGTCACACTTCTCCCGGAGGTCATTCAGCTACAGAACATGCCTCGCCTTCCAAAAAACACCCATACAAGCACACACCACTTTAAAAATACTCAAATCCAAAGCCTCACTGTCTTACAGACTAAAAAGGTAAAATTTTAGCTGCTTTAACTGCATAAACTCACTGCAGAAAACAAGAAAGTGCGTCAAGGCTTTGGTTTTTGGGGCGGATGTGATGTCAGCCAGAACCCTCCAAACACCCAAGATCATTAGCAACACACCCCCTTCCTCTCCCACCACTAACCCAGTTAATCCCTGCTGCAGCAGCACGCAGACACCGTACAAGGCAGACTGTAAGTGCTGTCTCCTGACGTCTCCGTTTTTATCTCTCTCTCACAAGCTGGCCTTCGATCTTCGGCATGCTGATGAAGAGTCTGCTCTTGGAAAATCAGGGGATTTTTGAGAATACAATGCAGCCACTGACGTGTGTAGCCTAAATGACTGATGACATTCAGCTGGGCCTTAATGTGTGCTGAACACGGGGACAATTTGATTTTAAATCAGTGCAAGATGTTATTGGACTTAGGACTATTGGTTATGACTATTGAGTTACACTGCAGTAGTTTATCTTCAATACCATCATATTTAATATATTTATATATATTTTGCACTTGTATGCTATACTTACACTTATATATGTTTTTCATTGGCTGCTGCAGTCACTAGCTTTTTTTTCAAACATCTACAGTTTAGTGCAAAATGACTATAACTAATAACTGGGTGATAAAGACAATTGACAGACCATCACAACTTCTCAGTTAACTAACGGACCACACTGCTTCTACAAGTGAAAAACGACAACAAATTATACATACTGAATAACGACTGTCTGTTTGTGTGTAGAAACTGTCAGTACGCAGTGTGGATGGACAGACCTACTGCGCCAAGACAGGCAGGAAGCTGACTGGTCAGATTGCTGAGAGTTTTATCGTCGCTGACTGGACTGAAGTGCTGGTTGGCTCATACAGGTAGACACACACAGATGCAAACACACACACACACACATACACACACACACAGAATGTATGCAAATTAACAAACTTTCAAATAGCAAATCTTGTTATTTGATTGTTTATGTTCTTTTCAGTGTATGTCTATTTGTCTGTTCTCTGTTTGGTTTTCAGTTCTATCATTAATGCTGTTGTGTGTGCGTATGTGCGTGCGTGCGTACGTTGTCTCCTCAGTTTCTCCTGGCTGTCCTGGCAGGTCCATCGCAGTCTCGCTGTTCTTTTAAAGGGCAGCGCGGTCATACCTTTCCATCAGGAATTCCACAGGCTGTACTCTGGCTCCAAACCAGTCCCTGGCTTTGTCACTTATATCACTGTGCCTCACACTCTCCGTCGTCACACCACGTCCCATGCAGCTCAAAAAGATAACGTTGACGTCATTAAGTCCAAATCAACCCGGACCAAAACAGCTTGCCACGGGTCTTGGAATGAAGATGCTCAAAACACCCAGACAAAAGCAGAAAAGCGTGTTTTATCCAATCCACGTAGCCCAGAACTACACAGAGCAGGCACTGGTACACAAATGCACCCAAAACCTCTGGTTCAACCAGGAGCACTGCAGAGCGTGTGTGTGGGGAAGCCAAAGCATACAGTGGGAGCTGTCTGCACCCAGCATGGTGCACAAACAAATGTGGAACCTCTGGAGAAGAATCAAAACCAGATCCAGAGCCACTCAAACCCTCTCAGTCAGACCCATGTCTCACACGTTCAGTCTCAGCTCACCGTCACCACTACAGCTAAAAATAATGTGAGGGTTCAAGAGTCAAACCCTGTACACGCTGCTTCCCCCCCACAAGGACAGCACAGGACTGTCCATTACCAATCACCTTTCAAGACAAATTTAAATGTGGAGCACCATGATGTGGGTCCTGAAGGTCCTGTGTTTCAGCAGAAGAATAGAGACAGACTGACAAAGCCTTTGGGGGCTGCTGCAGGTCTAAACACACAAAGACGACAATGGCACTGCTCCCTGAACTTTAAACCAAAGATGGACTTTCCACCTGATTATCCCAATGGCCGTTCTCCTTCCACATCACAGCAAAAACAAGCAAATACAGGCCTGTTGTTCCCTTTAACACATCCAAGAGGACACACATCTGGACTGCAAACAAAAGTGTCCTTTATGGGATCCATGAGGCAAGCTCAGCCCCAGAGGCACCAACAGTCACACCCAACCACAGAGGCCCCAGGTTCAAAGTCAGCACCGACTACAGGAGCTAAACTTCACGTACAGCCCCACACCTCCCAGCAGGTGAAGCCCCCTCCAACAATGAACTGGACACCCCAGGGTCACAGTGCAAGACCCAGACCTTTGGCTCGCTACAGCTCCTTTAACGCCACCTACGGGACGGGACATCAGACAGGCTGGAGGCCGTTTTACAGCACCATAAATACTTCGTTGGGAAGGAGCTAGAGCATGACTGACAGACACCCTGCAGGCTTCAAAGGAGCAGCTCTTCACCCAAACATAACCAAGACCTGAGAGAAATATACAGACTGCAGAGGAACGGAATGAGACAGTGTACTCATCTGTTCATATGAAATGCTGTGTATATTCTACTGTGCAACACTTATGAAATGATTAAACTACTACTTTATTTCTACAAAATTATGAGTTAAGACAGAAGTGTGAACTATTTTTAGATGATTTTCATGTGTGTAGCATAGCATAAAAAAAATCTTTATTTTCTTAAAAGATATAAATTTAATTAAGCAAACACTGTAGAGTTTTATCAAATGTATTCAGGTCATTTTGTGGTTTTCCTTTGTCAAGGTGTTTTGAGTTCAAGTTGCCGCTGGGTGAGATACACTGGGAGCTGCGTGACGTCACCAAGGTGTTAATTGGGCCGCCACCACAGAAACAACAGAGCTGTCTGTACACACCTACACTACTGTAGGTGTACCATGTCTGAAGCCTTTTATTACCCATGTAAAGAGAATAGTCTCTCTTTACCAGCTGCTCTTTAAACTATTAGATTCATAGTTTACATTCAAATTTAAGACATACTGTTTTATTACCTGGCTTCAGTTACAGTGGAAACTGTCCAAAGACTGAGAGGTGAATAAAAAGGGTGCCAGTTCCTAATTCTGTGAACAGCTACTAATGGGCCTTTTTCCCACAGCAGACATTTTGATTTGACAGAAGCACAGGTGGTAATAATGTGAACAACGGCTCTGCTGAATTTAAGTGACCTATGCTAGCATGCACAATAGCAAGGCACCGGAACAGACTCACATATGGAGCTAACAATAATACATGTTAAAAATGTCTTCAGCTACTTCAGCAACAATATTTCAGATACAAAATAAAATTATTTTAATGTTAAGGCATATGTTACATTTTAGGCAGAACATTTAAAAAGTCTCAATGCAGAACAGAATCACTGCCATACATTATATAACACACAGTGTATAAAGTGGATGAAACATTATCTGTGTCTGTCTGGTTTGTTGGATATAGTAAGTTATTACCGACTACATTCACTGTGCAGTTCAGAGGCGAACATGAAACACGTGTGATTTATACTTTTGAATATATTTGAATATTTTTTTTTGTTTGTCAGTGTTAAAAGTAAACATTTAACTTGCTTTTGTGACTTGTGTACTTTCACATGTATGGGGACTTGTGTTGTGAGGCCCAGCAGACCTAATGTCTCCACTTCTGTCTTAGGAGTTGGGTCTGACTCGGTTCATTCGGTCCATTTCTTTTGCTCTATGATTGGATCAACACAGTGACAGAACCATCTTCAGTCCTTTCTTTCTGCAAACAGCCAGGAATCACTGGAGCATCAATAATTTGTGTCTGTCTGACGCTGGGGGCCATCAGTCTCTAGCACGCCAGTCAGTAAGATCTTGTTCCACCAGCGGTCCCTGAAGTTCTGCAGACACACACTAGCCAAACTCTCCCCGTCCTGATAGTCCTCTCTCATCTTCTCCGGGATCAGGTCCTCTGACACCACCTGGGAGATGGAGAAGAAAGAAACTGAAAGCGTCTCACAGTGTAAGAACTATCTGCTGACTTTAACTCAGCCCCAAACCTTGGCTAACACTAAACTGGCTGAACTTCATGCCTTAACACTTTATGTAAAATCAGGAATGAGTCCTCACCTCAGTGAGAGCCTGCAGGGTTGTTTCTTTGGGATTTAGCCGCTGCAACACCTCATCTAAAGTCTGTAGGGTTTTTTCACTGCGCTGCAGCACAAAGGAGGACTGCTGCTGCCGAAGGATTCTCAACAGGAGTCTGACGGAGACAGAAGAGACTATGATTTCAGCTCTTTGTAAATACACAAATGGCACACATTCAACTGTGGTATCACAAGTTACCCTTACACTGAGTTCATGTTTTACATCATTAGTAAGAAATATCATTACAATCATCACTGTGCCGTACCTCGTCCTGATGAAACAGGAGCAAGCTTTCAGCCAGATTCTGTCCTCATCAAGCTCTGCTGCCTCCTCCTGCTGCTCCTCAGTCACTTCATCATGCTGCTGCTCTGCTGATTCACACCTCTGTGGGGAACACGGTCCTAGTGAAGGTGAATATAGCAGATCACATCAGACCACAAGGCTGGCTAAAAATAAAACTTAAAAAGAGCTAGAGTTTTCATTCATCATCAGGAATGCAGAATACCACTTTAAGTAAAGTACTTACATTTGGGTACTTGCCGATACCGAGTACCAATATGCCTCCCTTAATAATAGTTACAGTTTTGACTTTGAAAACATGTTTTTTTTTCATCAGAAGTTTGTCTTTTGCGTTAAAGCAGCTACTTTTCACCTTTCATCTTGACATTTTAAATGAATGAAGGCCAGCCTACCCGTGGTTCTGTCGCTCTCCAGCAGCTGCAGACACGTCTGCCCGAGGTTGTACCAGTGCCAGGGGTTGAAGGGCAGCAGGTTACACAGCTGCTGCAGAGAGGACATCTTGGATCCTACGCCTCCAAAATGCTGGTAGATGCTGACCTTTAGTAAAAGTTTAAAGATCAATTAAATAATAATGGCATTACATTTCCATAGAATGATTTGGAACCAACACTCTGTGTGTGGGTAATGCTGACCTTGAGCAGGAGGAGGCTGGTCAGGTGACAGGTGTTGGAGGCATCTTTGCTCTGGAGAAAGATTGAATGCACATTACTACAGAGTGCTGGTCATTTTCTAAGCATAACCTTTTACACTGATTTCTTACTGTCCTTTAGGTAAACTAATGCAGCTTCACATAGGTCATCTATCAGAGAACATTTCATCTACTTCTATTCATGTCTTCAGTGGTGGTGCGTTCATGTGCTAGTGGGACTCTTAACAGCCACGATTTAACCAACTACACAAATGAGCTATGCTGGTGGACAATTTAAATCAATTTAAACCACAAGACCAACAATAAGCAAATGTGATTATTTGTGTATTAACAATATTCCTTATATTTCACTATTCAAGCTTCCTAGGGCACACTAAAGCACTGACATGTTCATCTTTATTAGCTCATAAAGCTGAAGCAAATGACAAAAATAAAGGCTGCCAGAAGGAGGCTTTAAGATTTGGCAAGTTGGATTTTACAGCACAACCAACGACGGTAGGAATAAAACAACGCTGTACTCTGAGAAATGATCAGGAGTTGAGTACATTTTGTAGGATTTTTTGTTTTAAAAATGGTGACACACATATCAGTTTCATGACTTTCATGACACATCTTCAACACTGTGTGATATATATATATAAAGGATTTCACAATGACAACACGTTGTTCCCGTCACTGTCACTTGTATGGGACACTGTTCTGCGTGGACAATCTTTCAGGAAAAGCTCATAGAAGAATTACCAGTAAGTCAGCCAAGTCCAGCGCCCTGTCTCGCTGTCCCAGTTTGGTGCAGCAGCGGGCCATTCCCTCCAGTACATCTCTTCTGATTGTCAGGTTGTTGTCAGCGATCCACTCCAGGCAGCTGCTGTACGCATCCAAAGCTTTCTATACCCACCGCACCACGAGAAGAGAGACACACATAGTGGGCAATGCAGAGTGGTGAATGAAAGCAGGCAAAAAGGTTATGAGCCTCAAGCAGCTTCTTTTAGAACTATTACCCTAAGAGTACTGAAGAAAACAACTGACTTATTTATATGTATACTGAGTCAAGTGTGTGTATAATTACATAGCAAGGAAACCTTTTTTCAAGTTTTCTAGAAACGTTGCTTTAAAACACACTGATTATGATTATAAATACATTAATTTTCTGCTATTAATCACATGTCTTTAGTTGGGTGGAAGATGTTATTGTGTCTATTACAGGAATAGGCCTGTTGGCTTCAAGTCCTGTATGTTTGTATCTCAATCGTAGATTTACAGAAACATTAAAAGACTGGCTCATGACACTGAACTGAGCACATTCATTTCTTTGACTTTCCTCCAACTTCACTGTACAGAAACATCACAATGGTCCTTAATAAGTGTCATAAATGAGAGAGGACTGACTCATTTAATTACCTGATAGTCCCCCTGTCTCAAAGCCAAGTCAGCTCGAAACTTATAGACTTTCTGCTTCTCCAGAGGATCCTCAGTGTCCAGAGCTGCACTCTCACAGAACCACTGCAGAGAGAAACCAGAGGACAGACAAGAAGACACCATCTTTAAAAACACTTCATTTCAGTCCGCTCCCTGATGCACAATGCACTCAGTGCCACAGATATCAGCAATATTACAAACTGAAGCATATCACATATCAACCAAGTGTCAATTAAACAGTGGCTAACAGTGTTTCTCCACATGTTAAAGGTCACCGTAGTTAGTATTTAGATACAAGAAGAGGTTTTAGGTATTTTATCTTCCAGCTAAAGAGAGCTACTTACCCATGAGTCAGTTTATTAACATACAAGATATAAATGTGTAATGTTTTAATCCTATTTGTGGTGTTACATGCTATTTACCGTTTGGTTTATTTTATTTAATCGTACAGTACACTATTTATTTCTTGTCTTTTGTATTTCCTGTGATGAATTGAATCTGTGCGTATTTTTATTTTTTATTTTTTTCTTCCTTTCTGGTCAAATCCAACCTAGCAAGCTAGCTAGCAGCGTGTTTTTCTCCACAGCCTCTCCCGTCTCAAAGCCTCCAGGACGGTCTCCCCTCGTCCACATCCAGCTGTGTGTAACGATGACCAGCTGTGTGTAACGATAACCACTGAGCTCACCTCTGGCTCACACAGTTTGGCGTTATAAGACGACAGAGCCACCGACACTCGGTCCCTCGCCTCCGAAAACACAGAGTCGTCAAACGTGCTTCCTAATATCTCCATCCGGCCCCGAAAACACGATCAAGCACCAGATTTCAATATGTACCTGTGTCTGGAAAAACTGCAAATGGTACGCATGTACTGTTTGTTTACACCCTCGTGGTTACCCGGTGTTTATATGCAGAGCACACGACTAAAACAGTATTCGGGGATAATAGTTCCGGGCAGAAAGGTTCCGACCTATGATCACGGCGGGGGAGTGCAGCAGGCAGCACACATCAGTATGAAAACAATTGTTCAAATATATCTAAACTTTTATGAAGACTCGACACTAAATAGAAAAAAGTGAAGCCATACATGAATATAGCCTAATCAGTACTTTCATGTATTTTTCTGCTTTCTGAGGAAATAACTAATAAATGCCATTCAGTCAGTAATACACACCTCAGGCTGCCAGTGCACGTGTTTTCTATCAGCAAAGACATACACAATGAATGTGGCAACATGAAACGTCTTTAATATGAATGGCATTAATTCATATGAATGTAACACAAATGCATTCTTTCAATTTCTGTACATTTCAGACATCCCAAAAATGTCTGATATATTCATCATATTTCACAGCAGAGCTACAAACAACAGAAAATTAGTGACGGCCCGTTAAAATGCCAAGCATCCACTTTCAACAAAGGTTAAAACATTTTCTAAATATCCCAAAATCCATCAGTACAAATCTAAATCAAATGTTTTTATATGATTGTATAATATAATCATATTACAGTATCATGAGTTACAAATGAAGAATACACTGAGACAACTTCAATCTCACATTAAATAAACTGTTAGTTCAAAACAGGTAATATCTGTTGTCAGCCATGTTTATGCTTCAGATGAGAGTGAAAATGCTCTGTTTCCTCTCTCTGTGCACTGGGCCTGATCCCTTCACCCTAATATTAGAGGAGAACTTGTCACAGCACAACAGTGACTTACGCTCTTACTTTGCACAGATGAAATTAAACTTCCTGTAGTCAGACATGCTGAACCAGAGATGGTCCTCCTGTGTCTCCATCCACTCTGTTTTAATGTTTGGAGCCCAGCGACTAAATTATACGTGATGATTATCGACCCAGAACCAGAACTCCTGGGTGCAGGTGTAGTGAAGGGCCAGCCACACAAAGGCACTGTCGTCCCTATTGGCCTCCAGCTCAGCCCAGGCCTGGGTCTCTTCGTCAAGGATGGAGACCAGGTCCATGTTTCTGTCCCCCCAATAGTTAGCTTGAACAATTTGTCTACTCTACATACATTATGTCAATTTACAGATGTCAGTTTGTTTAAATGAGGGAAGTTTTGTTAATATGTAAAATATCTTACTGTCATAATGGTATCTGCTCTTGTATTAATACACTTTTTGTCCACATTTAACTGTAAAGGAGACCTTTCAGTTTACCTGATCATCATTACCTCCTCTCTGGCTATCCATCAGTTACTGTATATGAGCATTGCACTGACTAAGCAACTCACTTTGTTAATGAGAACATTTATTTTACCTTGTGTTGTGCTGTAGATCCACACTTCACACAGAACTAAAGGAATGGCTTTAGGTGAGAACACAGTGATGTAGCACCCTGACATTGTGCTTTGACACTGAAAGTCAAAGTTTTTAGTTTGTGATGTTTTTAACAGAAAGGACAGAAATAGATAAACCTGCAAAAAGTGGGAGAGAACAGGAAGGGCAGGAGTCATGTTTGTGGTTCTATGGGATGAAATGTCTAAAGAGTCAAATCCAGTTTACAGTAAAACACGACAAGTATTTTATCCATGATTCACATTTTTGTGTACTTGCCCTAGGTCTCATTCTATGTTTTGATCCTTTAAAAGACCACTGACAGAGAGATGATCAATAGACCACACAGCATCTTTACTGTGGAAGAGAAAATATCACTGTGGACAAGTTGAATGTTGTACACAGACAGATACAGTGAGATCAGAAAATAAAGCTTTCAGTTTCTTTTAAATGGCATATGTGTATCTACCTGCATCTAAAAGAGGACTCTGTCACATTACAAAAGTGGAGAAATTGTCCAGTTAGGTTGTACTCACCTCACTCACCTTTGTCTCTCCACAGTGGTTTTTATATGAGGGCCCCCTCTGACTGTTTCTGTATTCATCTCCATTTCCTGACTGCTGCCTCTATAAGTTCCAGCTCATGCAAATATCTCATGGTCTTCTGTCTTAAACAGAGGAAGTTGTGTGTATAAAATACATTTTATTTTCATATTCAAATTCAAATCTAAACCCCCTGCTTCAGGGAAAAGTGCTTTAGTTTGTAGGTTTACTGGCAAAATAATTTCATTATCTTTTCCATACAAAAGAACAATGTGACTGGTCTGGTCTGTACAGCCCTTTTTAGGGGTTGTTTTTAAATGTGCTTTATAAATACATTAGATTTGATTTAATGTATTTTTAGTATATGGCACTGCACCACTGAGAGTTTAGTTAAAACACTATTACAATATATCCTATTAACAGTGACGATAAATGTATCTGTGTGAAGAAGTGTGTCGCAAACTGCCACACCAAAACAATCATTCATCAAATAACTAATAAGTAGCTATGGGGATGAATAGTTAAACCTCAAAAGTAATCAATGGTGAATGACTGGCAGGGTGTAGGTTTTAATGGGACACAATGCACTACTTCCCTCTCTGCATGACTGCTTCACATCACATTTATTCAAAGCAAAACACGCAAAATGTTGCTTGCAAGTGCACATCTTTTGATCAAAATTTATTGGGTTTTGTCCTCAAACAAGTATAAAATATAAATCTTTTCTAAATCAAGCCAGAGCCTCCAAACAGCCATGATTTTAAATTAACATTGCACATATTGTCTGCCTCACAGCTGGTAGCTACAAGCTGATGGTCGCAGGGGCCACTAAAGGAATTTATAGCTTTCTGAAGCAAACCTGCAGAGGCAGACGCACATACATACCGTGTTTAATCAAACTTTATGACAGATACTCTCAGTTTTTAACAGATTTCAGACGTACAGGCAGAGTGTAGAAATAACTTAATGTAGGTGGAAATGTCAGTTCCGTAGACACAGAATAACAGTTTGACCTTTTTTGTTGAGCAGTTTTAGGAATGAACGTTGTCATCTTTGCTCGCATCCTGCGCAAAAAGTCCAACATCAAGTAAGTCAGTTTTGTTCTCACAATAGTCGTCGATCAGGAGTACGGGATAATGCGTACCAGTTCATGGTGGATTTTCTAACAGGACAGAGATCACAGCTTATTTTTAAAAACCTAAATTTAGGTTAGTCAGGAGTAACATTTTAAAACGGCACAGTAAATGTTTGTTGCCTTTAAATGAGCACCAACTGATTTATTAAGGTAGAGTACACTCTCATTGTGTTCTTCCCACACTCTGTGTCTACGGAGCCAACTGTATCTTAATACAAGAACTGAGAAATCACTGACACATCCAGTAAAACAGGTATGTATTGAAGCAGTAACAAGAAAAAAAAAAGTCCATTTTACGTTTAAAAGCAAAGCAAGCTCTTCAAAAGTAATAGCTTGGGGTAAAAACTGTCAACAGATTAAAAAAAATGAGATCAGAAAAAACAGAAAGTGAAAATTCCACTGTCAATGAGTTAAAAAAACACATTTCCATTTATACGTACAGTATATTACAATTCTGACAAGGTGTATTTTTTGGCCAAAAAAAGTTGGCTACTGTATAGTGAAAACATTTTAATCTCTGATTGCTGTAAGAAACATTCAACCAACTACCTGTCTAAATACAGAAAACAAGTGAGGACTAAATAGCAGAAGTATAGCGAAGGATACAGATATGACATTATGTGCACAATAGGACAGCAGGTAAACTACTCAGATCACAATGTTAGCTCTTAGCTCTACTGCACAAAGTTAACTGGGATACATGATGACTGTTGAATATAAAATCATGACTCAGGGAGCAGACACAGCACCTCAGCAACCTGGGAAAACTTTAAATACACGATTGATATTTAAGGTAGAGTTTTCTAGATCTTACAGCTTTACTAGACCATTATATTAAAGTGGAGCCAGGCTGGTTCCGTTTCTACCAATGCTCTTATCATTCCCCTAATATGGGGCTAATATTAAGTGTAATGGAAGGGAAATCTTTAAAGGGGTACTCTAGTGAATTAGTACTGCCATTTCATAAAGTAGGGGGACTCGTACGAGAAAAGTCTTTTCCAGCTGTGTTTTCATAGGCTGAGTAGTACTCTTCAACGACAAGTATCATAACATCCCTCCACCAAGGAGGTTATGTTTCGTTTATTTGTTTGTTTGTCTGTCTGTCAGTAGGTTTACATAAAAACGTTTCTGATTTTCATGATTTCAATCATCAATTTAGTGGAGTGGGCTGAGGAAGAACCCATTAAATTTCAGACGGGATCCGAATCACGAGGCAGATACACGTGTTATTTTTAACTTTTGTTTACATTGCGAGATCAAGGTCAATTATAGCAGTCTATGGTGAAATGAACTGAATTTGTAAAGCATGTGTAAACCTGTTGTATTTCAAGTGAATGGTGTGCAATGTCTACAACAAAACATCAACAACAGCCACCTCAAACATCACTGCAGAAACAAAACAGCGCCCTCCTAGTTCATGTGTAAAATCAATGGAGGGCCCCTTTAAGTAACTGTGATGTTAAATCATTTTACTGTAACATTTAATGTATGTTTATGAAACAGCTTAGTTGTAAAGCTTTAACTTTTTTGACACATTATTAAGAAGAAAAATGTTTTCCCAGTGCTAACAAGACAATAGTGTGTCTTTTCTATTGAGTTCTGATTCTATATTTTTGCAACCAAAGTACCAAAAAGCCACTTGGGCAACACTGGCTGAACTCTTAAACTGATTCTATTTCAAAAACACTACTCTATTGTACATATTGTATGAGTCTGTCTTGTTAACAAACAATCCACTAATGTCTGGAAAGAGTTGTAATGACACAGTTTTCATAGATAGAAACATATAAAACCATTCAAAACAGACTGACTATAGTAAAGAATGAGCACACTGTAAAAGACTGTGGGTTGGATACCTGGAGGCAGGTATAAGCCTAACCTGTGGACTAAAACAAGCTAACTGTGGACACAGCCAGTTTTTAGCACATGTAGAAATTAGCACGTGAAGTACCGGGATTCAAATGGTCGCAAAAGGGCACAAAATGGCTGGGCATAATGGCCGGTTTGGAGCAAAGGACTCTTTGCTTAAAATGCTGCTGTAAAAGGAGCTGGCTAACTGAAGTAAGCCTGTCCAAGCTAACAGTGACAAGACTTCAATAAATATTTCCAGAGTCCATGAACGGAAGAAAACAGGTCCATAGTTGCAGTTAACTTGGTGATGCAAGGTAACCGTTATTATTAAAGCTACACAAAGAATTAATCCCAGATTAAGCTTCTACTGTGCCAAGTATACCAACCCAGAATATTGTATGTACAAATGAGCGGTTGTTCGTCTTGGTTATTGCATGCAGTATTAGACAAAAGGTATACCTTAACATTTTGAATTTATTTTTCATGACCAGGCACTTGTCACATTATGCAAAATGTATCAAGATTTCAGTTTCAGATTTGTCCTTCAGTTGCTGTGAACTAGCTATCTTAGTTAGCTTACGTCTAGCAGACAACACTGGTTTCATTAAAATCGAAGTGACAACATGATGTGTGACAAGTGCCTGGTGGAAAAACACAATACAATTCTGAACACCAAGGTATCTGTTTAAGGACTTACAACAGAAGTTTCCAACGTCAACTTCAGAGTAACTAGGCATCTTTTAGCGTCAGCAGAAAGCAGAGCTCGGTCATGCATCACAACTTAGTTTGAACAAGCCTCCCTTAAGAATCCCCCAACAGTGTGGGATTTTTCAAAGCACTGACAAGTTCTCTCCCATCACCTTCTGTCGAGAGTTGGTGAAATTCTGTTCAAACAAGCGTACGAGCCGTGTAGGCACATAGGTTTATCTGCAAAGCTTCATCAGAGTCTCTCCCCCTATTTGTGAAGAACTGTAGTCAAGACAGTTGTCAGTCTATTGTCCTGTCGATTTACCGCGGTAAAGTCTGAGGAAAACAGTTAGAAAGAGGAGCGTTATTTGGTAGGCTTCCCGCCACAGAGGGAATGCTATGCTGTTTCTTCAGGCATCACAACAATCCCTTTGACAGAGAAAGTGAATTTTCCAAGAAAATTTTTCTGAACAGTTTCAGTCTTTTGAAGATGTTCCTATAGCCCTGTCTGTCTGCCTGTCTGTCTGCCTGTGTTGTAGACAATTGAATGAGACAGAGAACCAATAGGACGCCGCTAACGTTTACAGAAACATGTCTTGGGAAGTGCACATCAAGAGTCTAGGCATTCATTTTCCAAAAGTGGACTGGAGGAGGGGGGTATAGAGTCTGACAGGGGTATGTGGGAGCAGAGAGGGGAGATGGGAGACAATTCCCACAATTTAAAGCAACAATAAAAAACACAACAAATATAACATGTGCATTTTCTAAAGGAGAAAGGATTCAAAATGGGGCTCAAATTGTGCAATTTAGCGAAAGAAAGCATTGCGTGTGATTGTTCTACTAGTTTTATGAGCCTCATAAACATCCAACTATGAAACAACACATATTATTAGAAAAAGTGGATCAATTTATTCCTCCTCCTGAAAACACACTGAGGATAAAAAAAGGCAAAACACTGGTTCAGTTTGTAGTCATACAAAACAGATTTGGTCTCTCAGAGCCATTTTATGGTATAATAAGAGATTAAGGTGCCTAATCAGGATTCAGTCCACAATGTACACAAGTGGACAAAGTGCATTTTTAAAAAAGTTTAGTTTAGGTGCTTCACGTTTTTCTCTTCAGTGCAGACTGGACTCAAATTATTATTTGAAATGCTGTTAAACAGTCTTTCTTTAAAGTACGGGTCGAGACCCAAAATGATTCACAGGCCTTGTTTTTGACATGAGCAGATGAGCCCAAACCTAAAGGCAAGGTGTTGGTGATTTGGTGGTGATCGCAGTCTTGTAAAGGTGATAACCTGTGGATTGACTTGATCTAAATCTACACGGGAGCTGCAGCTGGTGCTTACGTTTACATGGTTTAAAGAAAACTCTGCAATGCTGCATCCCCATCTTAAAATTCAGTCATCAGAGGCCCACCATCAGTAAATTCTAAGCTAAATACTTCTGTTTCTATGATTATTTCAGAGGACCCACATGTGTGTCTCACAGCGCCTCTGCCTCAAACTGTAGCTCACTGTTCAGGAGCCAACACATTCAACTTTAGGACAACAGCATCACACTGTCTGAATCTACATAACAAAAAAAACTTTAAAAAAGGTCATAATAGCACAGGATTTCTATCAAAAGGTGAAAATTAGTTTAAAAACATTGATAGCAGTGCATATTAAACACATACTGTGGCATTTTTCCATCAGATCTGTAGGTGTTCAGTTAAAAATCTATAATACTAATAATACTCATAAAACAACAAGCCACTATAAAGGGAAGACTTGAGTAGACATCCTGTGTTGTTTAAAAGCATCGTGGCATTGGCATTCATTCAGCATTAAGGTACTTTGTCTCATATTGAGATAAAATGCCTGACTTTCAGAGTCATTATCAATCCATGTGAGCGCAAACAACCTGCTGATTCGTATCTGGTCCTTACGACCTTCACTGGTGTTAGGAAAAAACAAAGATACTGTATAACATAAACCAACCAGTTCCTCAAATAGATGTATGTCAGTTTCATTGGGGACGTTGCTCAGAAGTGACATCTAGCTGTGATACATTTTTAAGCACCTTTGTAAACACGTCAGATAAGTCTTTTTTTTTTTCTCTGTGCGCGCTCATAGTTTGGGACCAGGGGTGAAACATTCATAACATTGGAGATAGAAGTTTGAAATTAGGCCTGTGCTTATAACAAACACTCTTTCTCAAGGAAATGCAGCATTATGTGTAAATAAGTCTGCCTTTGCTGACTTCATTCAAGCAAGCAAAGAGTGCAAATTTAACAAGGGGCATGGCGGACATTAAAACTGTTAATTCCTCCTAAAATCTCTCATCTACAACAGTCGGCATTCGTCGGTTGTTCCTAAAAAATAATGATGTATGGATGTGTCTGGATACATCACCTTTTTGGGTAACTATTTCCACAGTTTCCATCTTCATCTCAGCTTGAAGCACTTCATGGTATTTCCTTTTCACAAAATATTGTGTATTGAATCTTAAGCTTTACCAAAGTTTGGTATGCCACTTAAGGTTTTCCTTCTTTACCATGACTCTTGTCTAAACTGTTACACATTACTTACAGTAAATAAGATTAAGAGGGTGAGCTAAAGCTAATAGTCCATCTGTTAGTCTCATGTGTTTCAGAAATTGTTTGAAAATACAGTGAATTAATGTTGCAAATGAGTACACATGCACATCAGTGGTAAAAAGACTTGGTTCAACAGTATTTCTCTTGTGACATTCTGCAATGTTTCACTTTGCCTCCCACAATCATTAGTCTTCAGAAACTGACAAGGACTTCCTGACGCTACGTGACGGCTCCCAAACCTCACTGTCGTCCGTATCATCGCCGTCGCCATCCTCGTCTCCTTCATCGTCATCATCTTCGTCTCCCATCCCTGCGCCGGTCTGCTCCTCGGTGGCCGTCGACGCCTCTCCCCGTGTCTCTGCTCCCTCTTCCTCTCCTCCCTTGTCTCCATCTGTCCTTCCTAACGCCGGCTCCTCGAAGGGATCTGACCCGGTCTCCAAGCGTCGCTGGACCTCGGCGAACCATTCCCTCACCTATTGACGGAGAGAGAAACACTTCAACTGTGTGTTGAGAGCAGAGCTGCAGCTACTAGTGTGAGGATACCAAGGTCATGTCCTTTGTGATATTTCTGGGAATTTAGATAGGAGGGACCGATTCATCTTTCACAGTCAGAGCTTTCAATCCAAACCACCAATACACAAGAGTTTCTGGAGGGAAAAAAAAACTCAGTAGTGGCTGTTAACACTTAACATGTTGTTAACATGTCTTTATGACATGAAGATGAGTTTGCATTATGCCGTTAGACACATTTTTTAGGACAAAATATATTAAAATGTGGCTGTTTTAGGCAGAAAAAATGAATGAATCAAAATAAAATGGATTTAGTATTCTCTATCAGAATTAGATAGCTGGTTGTTTTAGATCAGACGTTTACATAACCTTTAGATGCATGGAAATATAATTGAGTGGTTCAATAAATCTGTTTAAATTTAAATACACAAAAGTCTTTGTTACCCATGCTATATAATAATGTCAGTAATACATAAAATCCCAGTTTTCAGCGAAGCTTCATTTGCAGTAGTCATTCCACAGTTTTCCTTTATAATTCATGTTAATCAAGCAGTGATGGTTCGTATAAGTTTTCATGAATATATATGTCATATATTGGGAATGTAATTCTGGCATAATTTCTGTATTAGAACTACTGTATAATATAAAGCCCTGTAAATGTTTAGAGACCAAATTTGTATATTTTGCTGTATAAATAATACTGACTTGATTATACAGTATAAGGAGTTGAGAAAATAACATTTGCACCTCAAATGAAAAGAAGAGAGAACATAGATCTCAGTGCCTACCAAATGTCTGGGGATTTCTAAATGCAAATGAGTTGCTTGAACAGCGGTGAGAACTACGTAGGGAAACAAACTGGAGATACATCAAACCACTTTTTAAAACAATGGAAAATGGATGTCCTGAGCAATGTTATATAGTACGACAGTGTTTACAAGCACACGACTTCCACGCCACCGCCCTGAAGACTTGAATTGGTTCTACAATGCAGGTTTTTTTTATGCAGGGCTCAGTCTCTATTGAGGGAAGCATTTAGAGACTGACTTGTTAGTCTATGCATGTTAAAGACATTCTTAGCTTTCTACGAGTGGGTAAAGAGCATCTTAAATTACAATGCTTTTGGACTGAGTTGGATCTTACAATTGAAAAGAAGCTTTTGGGAAACAAGGTCCTGGCTGACAGGTCAGAAGCTGATTATAACAGAATACAGTGACACATATGCAAGTTCTCTCACATCCCAGTTAAAAAACATTGTTTCATTACCTGTTCATAGCTCATGTTGGTCTTGGTGACAAGCTCATCCAGGTCTTGCTCATTGAGAAAACGGTGCTTTAGGTAGTACTCCTTCAGAATCTCCCTCCCACTCTTGAATTTCTTTGACGGGGGCGCTCTATCGACATCTGCGCTGAAGGAGGCGGACCTTCTTGGCTGCTTTCTGGTTCGTGACCGCCCCCAACCACGATTTCGGGCGCGTCTTTTCCGGCCGGTGCTGCTGCTGCTTCCCATTTTATTGCCTCCTCCACCATTTGGCCCTTCGATGTTGCCACTTTGGTACTGGAAGAACCACTTCAGGTTACTGTTCTTCCATGAGTACCGAGAGTCCCCAAACCAGCTGACGATGTAGGACCGGGGAAGGCCGCTGTCTTCTGCCAGCTGGTCGTACTCCTCTGGTGTGGGCCACTGGGTCCGCACAAAGGCACTTTTCAGAATATGGAGCTGCTCTGGAGTCTTTTTACTCTTATCTTTCATGTCTTTGATGCTGCTGCTGCTGCTGGTGGGCAGCTGCTTAATGCGACCGCCAGGAGGAGTTTGACTACCTTTACGAGACGAGGAAGCAGAAGGAGAAGAAGCGCTCGCTCCTATTCCTCCTTCTCCTGCTTTTGCTCCGTCTGTCTCCAACTTTCCTCCTTCTGAAGAATCTGGGGAAGAAGTGCTAACAGAAGGCATTTTTCGTCTCTCGGTGAACCAGGCATCAATCTCCCTCCGTGTCAGTTTAGTCTCTGACCTCAGGCGGCTCAGTTCTTCATCTGAAGGGCTGTTGCTCTTCTCAAAACTTTCCTCCAGCACCACCAGCTGCTCCGGAGTCTTCTCCTTAAACTTCTGCAGGGTAAAATCGGGGAACGGATTCCATGTTTTGGGCCGCGTCTCCCTCTCCTTCACAGGAGGAGTACGTGGAGGAAGGGGAGATGTGGGGGTCTCGTCGCTCGAGTCAATAACAATGGTGGTGCTAGCACTGCTACTACAGCTGCCACTTCCCCTGCCCCCACCGTCATGGAAAACAATGACATGGCTGTTCTTAGAGTTGCGCTGGTTGTACCTGGTGTCACTGAACCACTTCTTGATCTCTCCCTTTGTCAGGTTGGTGAGCTTCATCAGCCGGGCAATTTCTGCATCAGTGACAAAGTGGTTCTTCAGGTAGCTGGCTTTAAGCTCTGCCAGCTGCTCTTTGGACTTCTTAGGCCGCAAACTGAATGTGTCAGCACTGAGGGCCGAGTTCTCCTTAGAAATGGAAGCGGAGAGTTATAGATTAAACAAGGGTTTCTACAGGCATACAGAAGTACTAAATACCTGCTAGGAGAAAGACAACATGGCTACAGATGAGATGTGTGCAACTTTTGTGAATGTACGTGGATACATTACATACAACTGATGAAAAACACCATGTGGTAATTCTGTCGACTGACTGGGTTAGAAATTAGAAACTTGCTTGTTGACAGCAATTGAGAGCACAAGAGCAAAAAAAAAAGGCAGCAACAGGTGCTGTCCTTACCTGTGGGGAAAGAGAGGGAGGCTGGACAGTGGTGGCCCTTTTCAGCTCACTGTTTGTTGGGGTGGGCTGGCAGGAAACTCTGCTGGAGCTTTGGGATTGGCTGGGCAGCCCTGCCACTGTCAGGGTGATGGGACTGGTCACCGGAAGGTTCCCTCCTGGGCCGACCTACACACATTCAGAGAATAATGACGCACAGAATATGAAGATGAGACATATAGCCAGACATAGACGTATTGGTTGTTTAAAGTCGTTATTTAGTCATTAACACTTTACTGTTTGAAACGGTCCTTAAAACTGGTTTTTGGATGTGTAGTACTTGTGTCACTTTTTGGGCAAGATTATTATTGACTCTCTTCTAATCTGTAAGAGTCTGGCCAGAGACCAAAATCAACACAGATCAGAACATCCAGCTAAGTGACAAAGATTTCACACAGCAAATCGAGTTTAACAATTCACTTATTCCTTTCACAAGACCTGTGTGTGTGATATGTTATTAATGTTAACTCCATAGATGTTGTTTCACAGCTGTAACATACATACTGCCTGCTGGGCTATAAGCGAACACAGCATTTAGAGCATGGTCTGTGAGACTGTTGTGATCATCTGCATCATCAAAAATTTAATTAAACTAAAGCACTTCAAGGTCCAACCAGTCTTAAGCTCAAGGCAGGGCAGGTCAAAGCCAAGTCTTGTTAGATATGTCGTGTTTTATTTCCTTACCTACCTGTGTGAACACCAGGCCGGGCTGGCCCACTATCTGGCAGGTCTGAAGAATGGACTGTAGGCCATTGGCAGCTGCTGAGAGTTGGTGAGCAGGAATCACAGTGATGGTCTGAGGCACCGTGTGCACCGTTCCGTTAAACTGTTTCCTCCTGGCCTCCTCCACTTCCTCTGGAGTCCAGCTCACACCGTGCTTCAGCCGCTGGGCTGAGAACCACACCTGGTGTACAAAGTACATTTGACTCCACCATTTCCAAAATATGCAAGGCAAAGGTAAAATTTAGTATATTTCAGACTTAAACTTTGAATTCAGATTTGAGGTGGCTTTTGACAAAATATACAGAATAAGGAGCATATACTTATATCGTATCTGTTTGAAGCATCTTATCTTAGAACAGACTTTGTGAGCACAGGCAATTAACCGGAACAACTTTCACCTACCTTGATCTGCTCCTCTGTGAACTGTGTCTGTGCTGCCAGGCTGCTGATCTCAGCCATGGAGGGGTAAGGAAACTTCTTGTATGTGCTGCCCAGCAGAGGGTTGGTGTCCATAGCTGCACTGTAGGAGGGGATGCTGCTGAGGGGAATCAGTAGCTGAGGCTGAGCTGCTGCTGCTGCTGCTGCTGCTGCACTGTGCTGGGCTTGGAAAGCAGAAAGCACCTGAAAGAGAGAAAGACAGAGAGAGGAGATATGACAGGTCTGGACTGATAATGCTACATGGGGGCAAAGGTGAGACACTGCTAGAGCCCTGTTTGGTAAGCTGTTGTCTTGTCAAAGTGTCTCTGAACAAGACAGTGAATATCTATGAGCTGCAGGGCTGCTGTTCTGTAGCTGAAGTTGACATCTAACCTCTCTGTTGGGGATATTTAACATTACAGCAAGACGTTTTTAAGTGTCCGTGCTGCTGCTGAGTCTGAAAAAAAAAAATGTCACTGCTGTTGCAATGCATCCACTATATCCTGATGATCGAGACCTCCTACCTGTGCCAGGCCAGCGGGGAGAACTGTGGGGTTTAAAGTGGATGATTTCCTCTGCTGCTCTGAGGGCGGGCCGACCAGCAAGCCTCCTCCCCCGAGCTTCATGGAGTCATGCAGCAGCATCTCCACAGGTGTCATCGGCCCCAGAGGAGCTTCGATGGGCTCCTGCTCTCCTCCCACCTCTCCTTCACCACCCCCTCCAAAACCCTCCACCGCCTCGTCTGCTGATTTCAGGGACACAGCGATCCTCTTGGGCTCAGATTTGGTCTTCATCCTCATGATGGGGGTCTTGCTGAGAGAGATGGCAGCAACCGCGGCAGAGTCTGCTCCTCCCTCTGCAGGTGTATCACACTGCTGTTCCTGGGTCACCTGGTCGCTGCCCACATCCTCAGGGGGGTTTGTAGCGCTGCGCTTCAGCGAGGGACCAAGGACTTCGCTGTCTTCTATAGTAGAGACACCATCTATGATAATAACAATACAACATTCATTGTGAGAGATAAAGTGATCAGATATTACCACGTTATTCCCGTTCATTCAGATTTACAGATTTTCAGGTTAACAGAGTGCCTTTACCATCTACATATGGGATAAAGGGCCAATCTTACCTGTATCTGGAGGGGTGGGGACAACCACCACTGCCTGATCCAACTCCTCTGCAGTCGGCCCCTCCTCTGCTCCTTCCTTCACCTTCCCCTGCTCCTCCTCTGGCTCTTCCTCCTTTGCTCTTTCTGTTTTCTCCTCCAGCTCTTCCTGCTCTACCACATCAGAGGGCAGCACCATGCAAGGTGTGGTGGATTTCCGACGGCTCGACATTGTCAAACCAAACTCTGTTTACGTCTGTGCAGGGTAAAGAAGATCTGGGACAGAAGTGTAGAGACTCACATGTCTTTTGTGGTGGCTCACATGCTAGAGTCCTTGAATTATGTGTTTCTGGTGGGGGGGAAATAACAAAAAATGTCATACAATAAGAGTAAAACTGTAAATAAAAATTGGATGCAAATCTCTCAAATACTTTCTTTTCGGCGATTAGCCATAAATAGCTCCTTCGGTGTTACTAAACCAGCTTCACAACTGTAAGGAGTGGTTAGATTTTCCTGCTTCTTATGAGTCGCAACAGAATACATTTAAGATTTCTGACTTGCTTAGACAAAGGAAGCAATTTTAAGCTCTCATGCTTTGACAGGCAACTTAACATTAAAATAACCAACAGATTTATAGGTGGTGAATGTTACTTTTACTTGCAGCCCTAAAACAATACTGCATACGTATGCAATTATTTCTGGGATTCAATAAGTACTGCCCCTTTTCGATTCATAGCGAATTACCCCAACAAATGCTTTCTTATGTCTACCAAAAACATGATATTTCACAGTTAAACTGTCATAAGAATAATGTGTGTAACGCCTGGGGTTTATGGAGGAAAACACTGAGACTGGATTGAAGTGCTCAGGGGGAAGACATATGATGTTGCACTTTTCATTTCATTTCATTCAGCACGATGACTAAAAACTTTTTTTCATGTGTGCCTGTAAGCAGATTTAACAGGTACAATTATGTATACGATTTCTATGTATCACCAAAAACAGGGAGAAATACAAATAAATGCAAATAACTGCAATACATATTCATATTAATGGCCAACACAATTAACTGTGTTTCAATGTTATGCAATTCATTTATTAATTAATGTTTTATTATTATATTGTAAATAATACAATTGCATATCTTTGACCTGTTGTTCAGACACAAGAAGCTATCTGAAGATGTGTTCTTGGGCTCTGGGAATAGTGCTGGTCAGTTACAAATAAAAGTCACATTGTATGCACTAAATTATTCATAAGTCAAGATCATTCATAGCAGCCCTACTTGAAATGATTAAATCTGACTACAGGATTTTGTAAAATCCTGAAACAATGTCTTTCATGTAGTACCATATTAACTATAGCACTGAATTGTCACCCAGTCCTACATTTATACATTTCTAATTCCAATCAATTCACAGTACCTTGTGTATATCACAGGGTAAACCCACATTAAGTCAGGTTATTGGTCTCCCAACAGTAGTGAGGCACAAATTAATTATATCACCAGAATAATTTAACCAACACCAGGATATGGTTTAGATTTTCTTAACTACACATTTGGCACATATTGCCTGGTTACTGCAAACATTGGATGTCTCTTTTCATGTGTGTCACTGTGTGTGTTGATGGTGATCCCTTAGGGCAGGTCATGGTTTAACTTGATGGTTACCGCCTCATTTACGACAAGGTCACTGACTATGATAGAGTTGCTGCAAATGTGCAACTGTAATGTCCACTTCTAAGACAGTGCTGCAATAAGCCTGGAGACAACTGTCTGACAGTGTGTTACACAGATAGCACAGTATTAACAATAACGATAATAATTGTGTGCACTACACTGTGCTGCACTGCCATCGGGAGATCATTTGCATTAACAGTTAGCGCCTCAAGAATAATTTGGAGGTGTGAGCTAGCTAATTCGTTATTAATAAAGTAACCTTAAAGCAATAAATTAACATAAAAGGACATCTAAATTAGCTCTACGGCACCTAGCATGTTATATGAGGTGGGCCAACTAGCCAGTGTTAGCCGGGGCGGTCAGTATTATTGATAATGTCTGGCGGTAAACTTACTGGAACTACTGAAATGTGCACTGTGTTGCTACCAGGCTGTCGAGACGAGGCGAGGAGTAATTTCCTGGGTCTCTGTAGAGCAGCCCTCAGGTGGTGTCTGTCGGTGTCTCTCCTTTCCCCCGGCTAACCATTCAGCCCCAGCCAGGACGGGACTCCGGCAGCGTTCACGTTATTTGGGCTTGCGGGTCTTCCAAACCCCGCGGAGGGAGGCAGACAGACAGACAGACGGACCGGTCTAACGGCTACGGCCCCCGTCTGCAGATGCTGGAAACACCGGACATCTCTCTCCCCGTCGGAGCAGGTTATTTCATGCCCCTGTCGCGGCTTTGTGGAGGTTATATAATGAGAAACACGGTAGTTACATTGATAACGTGGCCGTTGGCGCTGTGTTGCTTTGCTGACCTAATTCTCGGGTATTTTTTAACGGCTGATTTTTTTTAATGATCAAACGGCGTCATCATTCAATGTGATACGTCCTGACGTCATTCCTCGGCGACTCTCGGTGCTCTTCACAATTTACTTAAAAATTAGCGAGAAATAAACAGTGTTTTATCGCTACAGTGTACTCTTGATGAGGTGGATTTGGTATTGTGTTGTTTTGGGGGGGAAAAAGTATTAATAATGGTTTAAAGCGGGCCGCAAACTCCCCCGTTTCCCGACCCGGCAGTCTGCCAAAATGTCCTTACATGACCTGTCAGGGTTGTATGAGGCTACTTGAGGACAACACTGACACTGCAGAGTTCCCTTTCACTACACCTCATCTCGTCTTGTGTCAACCACTACAGCCTGTTCAGAAGCTGCTGTACAACCGCCTCTTTATATCATTTAAAAATAAAATGAATATAAATGCTAGTTGAGTTTGTAGGTAATCTGTATCATCCTCCACTGGTTTAAAACGAATGCAAATTAATAGTCATTAAATATCTCAGATAGACATTACACATCTTGTGTTATTGTTGTGAGTACCGATCACAGATAAATAAAGTGACATTCATTTCACGTTGTATTATCCACAGAGGGTGATCAGGAGAACTTAGTATTGCTCTTCCATTATGTTCAAAATGTCAAAAATGATGCAGCAGGCAGATAGACAGACTTTTTGTCTCTGTGTCAAAACCTCAAAAACCCAGATTCAACTCTTCCCATAATGCAACCCTAAAGTATCTTTTGTTAGACCCTCCATTAACCAGTTAAATGCCAATGTCCTAAATGTCCGGATGTTAGGAATCTGTAGACTGCACAAAACCAGATCAAAACGGACCAGATAGCGCACACAACTTTGTGTATAACTCCTCTTTGTAAACTGACTGTAATAAAATCAATAATTATTGAGGCTGACAGGGATTTGTGTTAATTCTTTCAGCCAGTCCACTCTTCAGTCAACATTTCAGTGTCAACTGTTAACACAACATGTAACAGAAATATCATCAAAAAATAAGAGGAAAAGAAAGTAATCCTGATACTTTCTAATACTCTACACACTGCTGTGGCTAAGTGAATCAGCATTTGCCAATTGATATTGCTAAGGTCACACTATCATAGCTCTCACATGATTCCTCACAAACTGAAAACTAAATCTTGAGCACACAAAAAGGAACACAATGAAAACCATTTAATTAAATATAAACAAAACAGGTAATACAAAGATTTAGCTAATGCACAAATATATGTGCCTGTAGGTTTCTATGAAAATAGAACCAGTGTTTGTATATTTACACAGCTATAACATCATGAGCATAATAAGTGGTCACATCTTAGTTCCTGTAGAGTCAACAGAAGTCTTCAATCTCCTGTTCCAACTCCTAATCAAATGAGAAGAAAGGGAAACAGATTAGAAACATTAAAGTACTTTGAGCAAAAGTTAAACAGTTAAAGCTACAAGTAAGCACCTTAACATTTCACTCCTCTTAAATAACACTGCAATAACACAATGAGGAAACTGGAATATCCCCTTTACTGTAGATGTTGTGGCATAGCGGAAAAACACAGGTGTAACTAACAGTGTTAATGATCAGGTGTGCCCTGCTGTTCACAGGCTTACTGACAGCCTATAAATCTGAATGTATGCAGTTAAAAAAGGCTACATCTGCTCATGAGTACAGACTAATACAAACCTTTATTAGTGCAGTTTTGTTGTAGTCTCGTCGGTGCCTATAGATGCTCTGACAGAGCAGAGCGTAGAGTTTCTCCAGCTTGTACACCTCATAGCCTTCGGTCTTTGTCACCACTCTCTCCAAGAGCTCCTGAACAAATCAGGAAGAAAGAGGAATGACATGGAGATTACATTTTTTAGTTGTCAAACTTCATACCCTCCTAGCCAAGAGTACAGGATGGAGGATGTTTTGTTAGAGCTACTATGAGTAAAGTCAAGATGCAGAAAACCCATCTGACCATTAATTATAAGGAAACTGACACACACAGTATCACACACACCTTTAATTTGTCACTGTCCACAACCAGAGGAGGAGTTTCCTGGTCCAGGATCTGCAGAGCCTTGTCCACATCGATCATCTGCTGCTGCAGCACAGCGTTCTTTAGAGCCCGAGTAATGCGCCTCACGCTCCGATCTGAGACACAATATGCAAGCACAAAGCATTTAGACGTCTACAATAGATGACAGTCTGCTGACACATTCACTATGAAATGCTGTGATTGCACCTCGCTCTTCTCTCGAAACACTACACCGACAACACTTTAGATAGGGATTGAGTGGACTGAAGGTCTCAATTTCACTTGAAATAATTTCTCTACACTTTTAAGTTAAAAAGCCAAGCTACAAGTGTTATTGTGTGAATGTTCATAACAAACCTGGGCCTGTGTCCTCCTCTCCTCTGACAGCTTCAGAGGCGTCTGCAGTTGAGATTTGTGTTGCTTCCACCTCCATTTGTTCCGCAGGGCCGTTCTGCTCTGCCTCCTCTACAGTAACTACCTTGTTGTTCCTGTCATCTGCTTCTATTGCAGTTTGACATTTGTTGGTCTCAGTTTCTGTCAGCTTTTGGCTATTAGTTTCATTCTCCTCTGTATTGGATTGTCCCTGGGTATCTCCCTCTGTCTCAGTGTGACTGTTCTGGTTAGTGTTCACTGAAATTGTTTCACTGTTCTCATTTCCTGCCTTTCCTGTCAACGCTTTGTTGTTTTCCTCCGACTGTCCTGGTTGATCTGAGACAGCTTTATTCACATCTTCTTTGTCTTTCTGTATTTGGTCACCATCTCTGTCTTCAGCAGCCTGACTCATCTCCTCTCTTCCTTCCTGAGCTGGTGCAGGCCCTGACTCTACATCAACCACCATCTGCTCCTCTTCTCCTCCAGTCTCCTCATTACAATCTGCTCCTGCTCCCTTCTCAACCTCTTCCTCGTCGTCCCCATCTTCCTCTTCCTCATCAGACCCCAAGTGTGTGTCGTCTCTGGACGTGTGAGGAGAGGAGGAAGACTTCCTCTTTGCGTAGAAGCCGGTGGACCAGCGACTCTTTCGCCTTTTCTTTTTCTGGGCTGGAGCAACAAAAGGGGATAAGGAATTTGTTATAGTACTTTAAGTAAATAATTTTCTTTCTTAAAAAAAAAAAAAATCCACAGTAGTCTTTACCTGTGTTTCTAAGCATTGTAACAGCAGAGGCACTTGTACTGGGAGTAACTGCAGCTGTGGGTCCAGCCTCTCTTTGTGGGGTCATGTCAGTGATCTTGGCCTCAGCAGGAGGTCTGGACTGTTTGGGAAGGACATGGTAGAAGGAGGGTGCAAACTGGACAGTGGAGCAATCTAAGATAAAGAAAGCACAATATATTTTTGTCATTCTACATATGCGTGAAACTGTTTTTGTACACTTAAACTCAATGCATTCTGAAACTGAAGGTCTGGTTTAAGTGGATGCAATTGTGCAATCTTGGTTTAAATCAAATGAGTTGTACTTGAAGAGAAACAGGAGAGAAATGCACAAGCTTGATTATATTTCTGTGAGAAGTTGAGTGAGTTAAATGATAAAACAGCTGAATAGCTGAATAACTGAAAACAGAATATAGTAGTATAGTACAGTAGCTTAATCTTAGTGCAAGTACTTCATTAAAGGTTTTCAAAATTAGCCACTAAGTATTAGTCATTTAACCAAGTCAGGGTAACTGGGTAACTAAAATGATCTACACTGGTTAATATGTTAAAGCTGGCCTCACAGAATGTTAGTGTGATCCCTGAAGCTGGCCTAAGTAACCTAACTATATGCATGTACACACACATGCACACACCATTCACCTCTTGTGCTGCGCGACACTTGGATCTCTTCACAAATCTTCTCAAAATCTTCATCCAGTTCATCTCTGATGATAGCATGGACGGTGTCCTTCAATGCACATGCTCTGTGGCGGATCTGGCGGTCTGGAGTAAACACACACAAATTCACACTCAAATGAGCAAGAATGCTTATTTTTAATGTTCAAACAGTTGCGTTAACCTAATCAGTTACTGTAAGTAATAAGACTGTATATTTTTTCCATGAGTATAGTGAGTATGTTCTTTGCTGTTCACTGTGTGTACCTGAGGGGTCTCTGTCTGGGTTGTATTCGAGGGCATTCTGCCAGATGAGATCTACGTCTTGGCGGAACTCTTTGACCGTCCCATACCGATGGAGGTCGACTTTAGAGAGAACTGTTGACAGGTCCATAGGCTTCTTGATCACTTCAGCATAATCTGGTACCTAAAAACACATGGGAAAGAGGCTGCTGTGAGTACGACCGTGTGTAAAATTGATCAAACTGAACACTCTATGGAATAATGGAAGACTGTACTACAACAACAAACCTGTTGGAGTACAGACATTATTCTCAGTTAAGCCAACAGTGAGTCAGCCCTTATGTAATACTTTATTAGGGGATAACAGGAAATGACTGAGACAATAGAATATAATGGAACAGCTACCTCTTCTAAATCCACAGGCTTTGTAAAAGCCTTGAAGCGTTTATCTTGGGAGAGGCGGTTGGTGACATCACGCAGGAAGAGGCGGAGCTCCCTTAGGGTATCTTCTTCCTGCTCCTCCAATCGTTGGATCTCCTCTTCTGTCAGCTTACGTGGAGGAGGCGGAGGGGCGACAGGAAGCACCTCCAATGCATGGAGCACTGAACAAAGTGGGAGGATCGTAGATGTGCATTGAG